ATAATGTTCAGAGGAAGGACTGAGAAATTTGCAGTGGTCGGATCTGCCCTCAAGCCACGTTCCACCATCTAATAGCCTCGATGCTGGGCAACTCAGTCAGTTAAGCGCTCCAAGACTCAGTTTCCCCTGCTGTAAAATGAGCCATAGTGCTGTGAAAATTACAAGCATTCCCATATGCAGGTGTCAAGCCCAGAGAGGGAAGGCACGGTTCAACCTAGGAGAGTTCCCCTTCCCTAAGGTTGGCAGCTAGGGTCACCAACCTTGCTGTCCATGGCTCTTCCTACAAAATCCACTGCAGACTCGGTTTCTCGGCCCTGGCCCGTCCCAGCCTCTGATCCCTGCTCCCCGGCCACTTATCCGAACCAGTTGTAACATAGAGACTGACAGAGTGGCTCAAACAGACCTAGCCTGGAAGTTAGTTAGTTCACCTGTAAAAGGAGTTCATGCTCTGATTGAACGGGACAAGCTTTGCCAAGTTCTTAGCACGGATTCTCAGGATCCTTGCCAGTCCGGGGGCGGAGCCCAGATTTATCTTTGAGCACCGACTCTGCTCAGTTGAAAAGGTCACACAGTGAACCACCAACATCGGAATTTTCCAAAGGATCGTCCAGGAAATACTAGTTCTGCAAGATAGTGATGGGTGTTACCGCGAAGGAGGTCATGTTACCACATGGCTACGGGGAATTACAGGTCCGACAGAGCCAAACGAGTTTGTTAGGGCTTTACGGAACCTTTACTAGCTAAGAGGTGTTGTAACCTTCTAAGAGGTGACAGTAGTTTATACCATTTTCTGACACATGGTCGGGGAGGGGGGGGACACATGGCTCTTCATGTCAGGATCCTCCCAGAACTTGCCCCATGCATGTATCTTTTCTTTTGGCTGATTCTTTTATTATTGTTGTTTTTGTAATTAAGTAATCTCTATGCCCAACACAGGGCTCGAACTCATGACCCTGAGATCAAAAGTCACATGCTCCCCAACCGGGCCAGCCAGGCTCCCCTCTTCTGGCTGATTCTGGGTTGTTAACACTTTTCTTTGTTCTAGGAATCATTCTGGTGACTTCTGGAACCTGGGGGGGGGAACCCCCACATGTGTAGCTGGTTGGTCAGAGTGAGGGTGGCCTTGGGGGTCCGAAGGGAGTTGGGGGCAGTTGTGTGCCCTTAGCTAGTGGAATTTGGCCTAACCCAGGGTGCCTGGTGTCAGAAGTCCTTGCAATTATGCAATGAGAGAAGTTAGACGTAAAATCGTAGATACCATAGTCTTTGGTATGTTTTACAAACCACTACGTAGTGACAGAGAACCAACCGGTCAGTGGCTCTTTAGGACCAGTGTGGAGGAGAGATTCCCAAGGGGCAGGAGGAAATCTGGGGGGTGATGGATAAGCTCACTGTCCTGATTGTGGTGATGGTTTCAAGGGTGTGGATTTGTGTATATGTCAACTTGTACCATTTAAATATGTGTATCTTATTATATATAAATAATACCTCAATAAAGCTTTTTTTTTTTTTTTTTTTTTTTTTTTAAAGCTCAAGGTCGGGGCATCTGGGTGGCTCAGTCAATTAAGCATCTGCCTTAAGCTCAGGTCATGACTGCGGGGTCCTAGGATCGAGTCCTGCACTGGGCTCCCTGCTCAGCAGGGAGCCTGCTTCTCCCTCTGCCTGCTGCTCCCTCTGTTTGTGCTCTCTCCCTCTCTCTCTCAAATAAACAAATAAAATCTTAAAAAAAAAAAAAAAGCTGATTGTCGTTCTCACCTGCCACGACCCTTTCAAGAACCTTCCAAAGCTTACAGAATCAAGGTCTTCTGTGACCTGGCCCTAAGCTCTCTCCCCAGGCTTGTCTGTCAGCACCACACCACGCAAACCCCACGCCCCCGCCCCGAACTGTATTTCTTGCCATTCCCCAAGCAGACTCCATGCTTTTCCCCCCTCGGTAACTCTGTTCATCTGTTCCTGCTGCCCCGAGTGACCACTCTCTCCCCACCTGTTAGCTTGGCTTAAATGTCATCCCCACGAAACCTTCCTCGAATTCCTGAGTCAGGAACCATCTGTCCCTTTCCTCACTCCAGGGATGCTGTTTGCGGGGACTTTTAGGTATGCGTGTGTTTTTGTACAAAACAAATCTCCCCATTAGATCATTGGCTTCTTGGGGTGGCGGAGGGACTATGCATTTTCTTCATTCTTGAGTTCCCCAGGATAGGGAGTATGATTCTTCACAGAGGACGGTCACATTAACTAAATAGCCCAAACACAGATTTCTCGGTATCCTCCCCCTCAAATCTTTGAGATCCTTAAAATGTCAGGTCCCTTACCTCCTCCTTCTCTCCCACCTCCTGCTCCTTTTTCTCCTCCTTCCTTCCTAGTAAACCACGTTTACTAACTTCAATCCTTCCCCAAACCAAGTCCTGTTCCCCATCCTTTTGTCTACATTAGAGGAACACACCCGTGTTTGCATTTTGATATTATTGTAGGTTCCGTCTACGTAGCAAGTTCTGCCTCCTGTCCAGTAAATTTCAAGTGCACCTGCCTTCAATCTTAATACTGAATTTCCCTCCTTTTCTCCTCTTCCCTTGGCCACAGAACATGGTGATTAAAGCCTTGGGCTCTGGGGCCACCAGGCTGAATGGGAGTCCCAGCTCTGCCACATGCTGGCTGTTGACCTTCAGCCAGGTCCTGAGCTGTCACTCTGACATCTGTAAATTGGAGGTGGGTACATCGGCTGTGTCCTAAGATCGCTTGGAGGACTAAGCGAGCCAGCGCATGTCAAGTATTCGAAAGGTGTCTAGCACACGGTCACCGCTCAGTAGCTACTGTGCATTTCCCTGCACGCTAGAAGCATTCCTGGAAGGAGGGGTGAGACAGATGGGGCTGGAAAGGGTAACTGAGCGGACTATCACTCAGAGAGCGCATTAAAAATACAGATTCCTGGGGCGCCTGGGTGGCTCAGTGGGTTAAAGCCTCTGCCTTTGGCTCAGGTCATGATCTCAGGGTCCTGGGATCAGGCTCTGCATCGGGCTCTCTGCTCAGCAGGGAGCCGGCTTCCCCTCTCTCTCTCTGCCTGCCTCTCTGCCTGCTTGTGATCTCCGTCTGTCAAATAAATAAAATCTTTAAAAAAATACAGATTTCTGGGCACTGGCCAGGAGGTTCCTAGGAGCCTGTCTTTTTGGATCTGCTCCCCAGATGACTCGGGTGGACAGCCGGGCTTTGGAAACTGTGGCATAGCAGAAAAGGATCAAAATTCGGGGTAAGGAGATTAGGGTTCTGGTGGTGTTTCTTGCCAGCGACCCAATGTGTGACTTCTCTGAGACTCTGTCTTCTTTGTAACACACAGATAACAAATTTGGTTGATTCACAGGGCTGTTGTCAGGGGAGTGGAATTGCTAAAGCCATTTATGCCTGGGAAGCCTGCTTGCCATGCAGGGAGGGACACAGACTTTGCAGTGAGACAGGCCTGGGTGTGAATTCCACTTCTCATAACTGTGCTAGACATTGCTAGTTGACCATCCGACATTCAGCCCCCTCTTCTTCCTCACACAACCCTGATTCTACTCAGAATGTAAACGTGCTGGGTGGAAAATACTCTATCTCCCAGACTCCTTTGCAGCTCTGGGTGGCAGAAATCTGCTGATTTCTGGAAAAGCTTTTGTTTTCCTGATACAGGGGCTCATTCCTATTTCTCCCTTTGCCCTCTTCTTCTTGCCTGGAATATGAGATGAGAGGGCTGGCATTGCGGCAGCCATTCTGTTATTATGAGTGGACAAATACGGGATCTATGAGCTGAAGGTGATGGGAGCAGAGGGATGAAAAGACTCTCTCTGTGGATTGCTGGGCCGCTATGCCAGCTCTGGACTGCCTATCCCTAGACTTCTTATGTGAGACAAACGAATCCTTAGTTATTTAAGGCAGAGGCTAATTTTGTTGTTGGTGGTGGCTGTGGTTTATACCCTAAGGCTTCTCAGGGAAAACTGAAAAAGTATAAATTTCCTAGAACCACGTCTGACCCAGGGGACATTCACGCATTTGTCTCCTTTCTCCCAGTACAAGACGTTTTCGCATTCGTAAAATGAGACCCTCAGAAATCCAGTATCCTATACTTACCTGATTATAAGGAAGAAGACTTAGTCTCTGGCGCCGGCTTCCGGAATAAAGGGCCCTTTCCTGCAGTGGGTGGGAGGGTGGGAGGGCTTGAGCGGTCACCCCACCGACTGGCTAAGCACCGGCACAAATGTGGACCACCTGCGGCATCCCCAACTCTACAGAGGCTGCTGCACCCCAACCAAGCAGTTGTGAACAATCCCCGTGAACTTGTGTGGGGTACAGCGTGCATGGTATGGGCCCCAAGACATGAAACTGCTCTTGCTTGGACCCAAGTATGGGAGACAATTCTAGCGATCGGACCTCCTGGTGACACACACACATTTGACAGTAAGAATGAAAATGTATTAACTTGAATCCCTGTGCCCCCAACGCAGAGTACATCACCCAGCATTTGCTCTGGTTGGAAACCCAGGTCCCTGGGGGTGAGTGTGGGCATCCGCTTGGCTTTCATTCCCATTCTTACCTGCCCACAGCAGGGCCTCTGTAGGACCCGGCTCGTGCTCTTAGAACCACGGCAATGCACGTGACTCACCAAACAAAGCCCACTGCCCCCTCTGCCAAAGAGAATCCTGGGGGTCCCCACAGTTCACGCACTCCCACTGTGGCTCAAATCAACAGCACCAAGAGTCAGTACCGTGAAGCTCTTGCAAACCTCACACACCACAACATGGGGTGTACAAAGGGCGCTTTTTTTTTTTTTTAAGCAAATGTATTTTTCTTCCATTCTTTAAAAAAGATTAAACAGCAAAAAGTTAAATCTCCTTTTACCTTAAAAGTAAAGAAAATCATGAAACGAGATGATCCCCGGGGTGGGGGGTGGGGTTCTGCACAGACTTGCACTCTCTCTCTCCAGACTCCCCCACAGCCCCCCGGCGGGATGCAGGGCTTGTCCCTCAGCGGATGAGCTCTTGTCCAGACCCTTGGGTGACTTCCCAGGTTGGTTCAGCTTGACCTTGTCTCCGCCCTTCTATTCTGAGTCCTCCTCCCTCATGGCATTCACCAGCCAGTCCCGCTCCGTCCCCTGCTCAGAGTCACTCGTGTCGCTGGCCTCCATGACCAGCAGTTTCGAGTAGTTGATTGTCTGCTCCTGGGGCAGTCGGGGCTGAATGGACAGGAACAGGGCCAGCCAGAGTAATAGGACCACGCAGCAGGCCTGATAGAGCACGGCCAGGCTGAAGGACATCACCACGAAGCCCCCCACAACGCTGCCCAGGCTGGACCCTCCCCCGGAAATGTGGCCTTGGAACATCGCACCCAGAGGTCTCGCCGTCCCGGGAGTGGCCAGGTCCTCGACGGAGGCCTTCACGGCCCACCACAGGGCCCCGCTGCTGACGGCGTTCAAGATCTGCGCAGGGAGGACCGACCACCAGCTCCAGAGGAAGGAGTAGTAGAGGAGCTGGGCTGCCAGACAGCCCAGCCCCAGCCCCACCGTGCCCACCCTTGACAGCTTCCTAAGCAGTGTCGCTTTGAACGGATGGAGTAGAATCTCTCCCAGCGAGCCCAGGGCCACCGAGAAACCCATCACCAGCTCGCCGCTCCCGTGGTCTTCCATGTGCCAGAATAGAAAGTTCTGCACCGCGCTGGTGGCCGCGCCTACCAGAAACACGGTGAGGGCTAGGACAATGAGCCGCGGGGCGCCGCCCACGAGGGACAGCGCTTTGACGGTCTTGTAGCTGGGCTCCCGCCGCCTGCAGATGGGGACGGGAAAGGAGATGCTCACCAGTAAAGCCAGGGTGCTGACCAGCGAGTAGCCATAGAAATGCAACACACCCCGGGGGCCATTTGTCATCAGGACACATTCCAGCTGCCCCACCAAGGCTGTGACGCCGCACACACCGGCCGACATGCCCAGCGGCCTCCAGATCCAGAGGCTTCTGTAGTGGTCAGTGGCGTCCACAAAATCCAAGTATTCATAAAGGCTGTCGTCGGCCACCTGCTCCAGAGGGGCTGTCAGCAGCTCCCAGAACACCAGGGAGACCAGGGAGAGGAGGAAAGTCCAGCGCAAGCCTTCCAAGGAGAGGTCAAGGCCCCGGGCACTCCCCTGAGCTGCTGACAAGTTGGCTGGACCACCAGCCAGCAAAGGGAGGACTGTCCTGCCCGCGTTAAAAGCCCCTTCCCCAGGAGTAGCCTTCACCCCTGCAGTGACAGGATGGAGAGCTGGGGACGTGGTCCTGGCGTAGCCAGGTGGCCCTCCGGCCGATTCGTGGACGTTTCCCACAGGTGCCTTTCTGAAGCCAGCGGGGTCCACTGTCCCGGTGCGGCTCTCGCCTGAGGGGCTGGGCGACCCTGCCGCATGGCTGGAGGCGGGCTGGGGCTGTGGGGCCGAGGTGACAGTCACAGTTCCTGCGGCCCCAGGCCGCGGAGCGGTGGGGGTGGCCCCGTCGCTGGCGTTACAGGAGCGGTACCCCAGAACTTCGTGCAGCGGCGGCACGAGGACCATCACCATGCTGGCCCCCACCGAGCCGAGCAGCGAGCCCATCAGAAGCACCCTCCTCTTCTGGTAGCTTTTGGCCAGGAAGGCACAGAAGGGACCCCAGAAGGCGGCGATCAGGTGCTTGGTCCCCATCAGGATGCCCACCCAGGGCGCGGCCAAGCCCAGCTGCCTCAGGTAGAGGGTCAGGAACGGAGTCACGCAGGCGTCCCGGACCCCGCACACCAGGTGGAAGAGCTTGGCCACTCCTAGCGCCCTGCTGATGTCCCACTGCGGGTTGGCACTCATGGCGGCCGGGCTCCGTCAGTCCCGGGCGGGCGGGGGACCGAGCTGGGCGCGGGGCGGCCGCGGGGCCATGGCCCGGGAGAGGGCGCGGGGCGCGGGGAGTCGCCTCCGGCCTCGGCAGCGCCGCGGTCACCGGGTCAACGGCCGACCCCCCACTCCACGCCCCGCCACGTCCGGCGGCCGTCCCGGAAGTGGCCCCGCCCCCGGGACGCCGCACCTGCGGGGCGGGGCCGGCGCACCTGCGGGCCGCACCTGCCGGTCGCGGCGCGAGGGTGGGGCCTGTGGCCAGCAGGGCGCGCTCCCAGCTAACCTGCGTGAGCTCCTGAGCTGCCTCGGGCAACGAAAACTGCGGGGCGGCGCGGGGAGCTGGAGGGGAATTCATGATGGGGGCTCCCTCCCTGTCTTCCTCAGGTCTTGGCGCTCGTCCTCCGTCAAGGACAGCCCTGTAACCTTCAGGGACCCGCCTGTCCACCCTCACTGACAGATCTCACCCCCTCCCCTGCACGCATCGCCACCCAGCGCTCCACACGTTTCTGTTTCGCGGGTTTATCTTGTTTCTTGCCTGTCTCCGCCAGGATCCCAACCCCAGGAAGGCGGCGTCCCAGTCCCTGTAACCCTATGTATGTATTGGATAGTTTGCGTCTACACCTGAGGGTGCCCAGCGGTCCAGTAACGGGCTACACCCTCCATGAGCCACCTCCAGGTAAAGTCACCAGATACGGTGATATCAATCATTTCCGGTTTAAAACCACTCTGACTGACTGGGGACCGTCCCCAATCCCTCTCTCCCTGGGTTCTGTTGGGGGTGGGGGGCAGGGCTTCAGTGGAGGATCTCATGTCCATCCACTCCTCGGTCTTCACTCTGTCCAGAGCTGCTGTCTACGGAGGGGCGGGCACGATTCTGTACTGGTGCTCCTTGGACCCCTCTGCCTAGATGGCCCCCCCAGGCACCCCCTCTTACAGGGAGTCTTCCAGACTTGCCCCCACTCACCAGGCAATGAGTTTGAAAGTAAAGCAGCTACATCTGTGCTCTTGGACCCGGGAACCTGAGAAAGGTTCCTCCACACCCTCCCCCCTCCCCCCTGCGACCCTGCCCTCTCCTCTGCTGCCTTCCCTCCTGCCCCCCACCTAGTCCTAAGGGTGAGGATAGTGGTCCTGTGTCCCTGGTCTTCCCTGTTTTACATCTGGATATACGTTTTGGAACTCAGAAGCCAGGAATTTTCACGTCTTTACTATCCGGCCAGGTATTAGGTCAAAGCAAAATCACTTTAGTGTGCCTTTATTGAATCTGACATTTCCTCTCCTCCAGGAGGGACACCTGCCTGCCCATGCACGCGTGGACATTGGCTGGAGGGAGGGAAAGGAACAGACTCAGGAGAGAGGAGGTGCCTTTGCCCTGCTTCCCACTTTCCCCCAGGCCTGGGCCCTGGACGACACAGCAGCTCTCACTTGGGTTTTCAGGGGCAATGGGGGAGCTTGAGTGGGAGGGGTGGGGCTAAAAATAGATGAAGGCGTGTGGACATTTGTGCACGGAGCTGGGTCTTGCGTGTGCGCAGTTTTGCTGGAGCTGTCCTCGGGCCTGGGTGTGGGCCCAGCTCCCTGAACTCCGGGCACAGCCAGAAGCCACCCAGCGCAGCCTGGCCTCGCCCCGGCTGCTAGTATGAGTGTTTGGAGGCTGATGGGGTAGTGTATCCTTCCTCTTGGTCTGGGGCTCTTGGACTCAGCCCTTCTGCCGCCCTTTCAGGCTCACTGGACGATGCCAGAGAACGTGTTGATGGGCATGAGAAGGGGCTTGGGCTTGGCTCTGGTCCCTTCTGCCTCCGGCTGGTGTGAACCAACCCACGACGCCCTGGACTTGTGAGTCCCGGAACACGGCTCTGGGCAGGGAGCAACCTCGATTCTGCGGGTGGAGAGAGGCGAGCTCAGGAGACCCATCTCTGGGGTCAGATCTGCTGGGGCACAGTGAAGACAGCCCCTCCATTACAGGGTAGACGGGAGGAGGCCTTGCAGAGAGAGAAAGGGGAGATAGGACAAGAGAAGAGCACCCAGGCCAGGAGTAAACACCGGGAGAGGAGGCGTGCCTGCGTGGGCCCCTCTGTGTACCCCATCTTACCCAAATACTGCACCCCAAGGAGGGGGGACCACTAAGGGTCGCGTTAACTGGGGCACAGCTGCCACAGAAGGTCAGCCTGTGTGAGGGGGTCAGCGCCCACGCAGGGGTTTAAACCTATTGCTGCTAACATTCATCGAGGAAATCTCCAGAACATTAATACCATCGGCTGCCCCATTCATTTGCTTTTCTCCCTGGACTTCCAGGAAGTCGTGGGGCAGTGGCCTCAGTCCACACCACCAGGTGGACCACACCTGCCCCGCCCCAAGGTCTGCCTGCGTCCTGGGCTAGAGGCAGCGGGTGGTAGGAGCTGGCTCCATGGGACACAGAGTGGGGGCGAGGCCCGGCCTCACCTGACCACATCCCTGTACATTCGCCGACCGTCCTTGTCCAGCAGCAGCGTCAGGAGCCTCTGGTCCTGGCTCTGGATCTGGATGGTGGCCGTCCGGAAGGTGTTTGTCACCGTCTACAACCAAGAGCTCATGTGAGTGTCACCTTTGCGACAGACAGCCTTGCCAACTCCTCCTGCTCTCTCAGTGTATTTCCGCAGTCCAGCCCATGGGGTCCCCAGCTCTCTTCCTGCAAGTGACCTGGAGCCTCTGGGCTCCCCCTTGGACCTTGGGTCTCTCGTTTCAGCAATTGTTCTCCCAATCTGTTGTCCTAGATCTCAAACGACCGGGAATGCTGGGGCCGGTGCTTGCCAGGTGATCCAGGGGCCCCAGCGCCCCCATATCCCAGCATATGTGTTGCATGTTCAGTGTTGGGGGCAGGATTTTGGGGGTTCTCTGAGTCCTGACTGCCGTTCTCAAAGTGGGAGTACACACAAAATTATTTCCCTGGGAAGCGGCCACCTGCCCTCATGACGCAGACCAGACCTGTAGCTCCCTGTATCATGGAATCATCTAGGAGCCAGACACAGGTGGGGCATTCAGCGGTTTTGCCCCCCGACATGCAGACAGCGGTTCTGGGTGGTTCATTCCCACAACATTCTGAGCCTTTAGGGTTCATTCTTGTTGAAGAATTCTCAAACCCTGGCTCCTCCTAAGAATCACCTTTCCAAAATATAAAGTTAGAGATCCTGATTTAAGGGGTCTGGAGTGGAGCCCAGGCAAGGACTTTTCTTTTCTTTTTTTTTTTTTTTTTAAGAAAGATTTATTTATTTGAGAGAGAGAGAGAACAGGGGGAGGGGCAGAGAGAGAGAATCTCAGGCAGACCCCCACCCTCTGCCGCTGAGTGAGGAGCTGAAATCAAGAGTCGGACGCTTAACCGACTGAGCCACCCAGATGCCCTACAGATAGCCTGCCTGGGTTGCGATCTCAACTCTGCCACTTACTAGCTGTGTGACTTTGGGCATGTTTCTTAATCTCTGTGCTTTTATTTCCCACCTATTGAAAAAAACAAAAACAAAAACACAGTAGTAATAGCAATTACCTTGTAGGATTATTTTGTGAACATTAAAGGGGAGGAAATACACCAAGTGGCCAGGACACGGTAAACCTGTATTTGTTGGCCTGGTGTTACTCTCCTTCTTAACTGCAGGTGTGCAAGGAGCCAAGCATGAGTAGCAGCTTTAGTCATCGAAGGGGATGGGGTCCCCGCTGTGGATTCTTTCTCTGTTCTCCTAGCCCAAGCCCCCTCCTGCCATCACTCTGTCTAAAGACTCGTTTATGAGCTGGAACAGGTGGGTTGGGAGCAAAGGCAGAAGGACCCAAGCCTTGCTAGACAGAAGGTGACACAAAAGGAGAGAGGACTTCTCCCCTGCTGTTCATCAGGACCAATGGCAGCTTTGGGGCCCTCAGCTATGGTGGGGCAGCTGCGGCCCTGTGGCGGGCAGCGGAACCTAGTGGACACTGACCCGACTGCCTGCTGGATGACTGTGAGCCCGGGGATGTCGTCCAAGACCTTCCAGAAGTACCTGGAGGGACTGCAGGGAGGCTGGGGTCCTGTGCGGGCTGAGGGATGGGGAAGCCAGATGCATTACGATAGCTTGGGGGACCTGAACTGAGCCCCACTGGTGAGGGACACTCTGGGTTCCCACAGGGACAAGACTGAGGTCTGGAGAGACTGACTGTCATCTTCTAAAGCTTTCAGTAGTAGGTGTGGGACACAGCTCCCAGACTCCCAACGCAGTGCTCCTTCTCTGGGTCAGGCCGCTCTAGGTAACTCCCAGCAGGATCTTGGCTCCCATGACCCAGCCCTCCAGGTAGCCAGAGGCAGTCCACAGGCCTCCTTCCACCTGTGTGCCGTGCGGACAGATGCCTTCATTTCCCCTTTGTGGCCTGCCTGCTTGGACACATGCAGACCTGCCTGGCTTTGGCCGGTGGGGGACCCCAGGACTCGGATTTCACTCTATAGATGCAGCCCTGGAGGTCAGTTGGAAAGTCCAGGCCAGCCAAATGTGCAAGGGGTCTCCATCTCAGCTCCCAGTTCACTACTGGTGAATAGTGGGCCTACTGGTGAATGGTGTGGGCCCACCTCCCAGGCCCCCAGAGCTCCAATCCCACCGTTCCTGCCTCATCTCCCACTATTTTCCGACACCAACATCACAGTCTGGCCAATATCGTCGCTGCCTCTTAGGCTCAGCAAGCCAGCCACAGTGAGCGCCCTTGCGCTGCTGGTCTCCTAGCAGAGAATGCCCTTCGCTCTAGCTCACCAGGAGCCTCCGCTGCCGCTGGGCGTTCATCAACCACCCATCGGTGCAGATCCGGCCTGGGATCCAAGAGTGAAGAAGGGCTCCTGGAATTTCCCCCAGGAAGGCGGTGCAGGGTCAAAGGGAACTCGATAGGGCGAGTAGTTTAGAGTTTAGAGAGGTCATTCGAAACAAACTGTCGCAGGGAACTGACCTGCAAAGAGGAAATGCAGGAGAGTAAAGGGGTCCACCTTGGAGTCTGAGGCTGTGCAGGAGGAAGGCAGGTTTCAGCTCCAGCCAATCGGAGCTCCCCTGCAGCAGAGGGGGCTGTCTCAGAAGCACTTGGGTCAGGGCTGAAGTCCCAGAGGGGGCGGGGGCGGGGACAGGCTAGAGGCTTCAGCAAACATCTGGGAGCACCAGCTGTGGGCAAGACAACACGCTGAGTGCTCCGAGTGCTGGGGAGAATGGGGAGGACCAGGAGGACGAGGGCCGAGTCCAAGGCACTCGCAGTCCATTGCCGTAGAGGGATCGTGCCAATTAATGGTGTTTCGCCTGCTCCCCTGGCTGGGTCCCCAGGGCTGTAGCCCTAGCTTACCCAGCAGTGCGGTGGGGGGCGGGGCAGGGTGTGGAGGGAAGGGGGAAGAGCATCTAGGAGGGCCTCCTGGGGGAGACAACACCCGAGTTGCAATTTGAAGGAGCTACGAAAAGAAGATGGGGAAGAGGAAGTTGGGACCGGGTTTCAGGCCACGTACACCTGAGCAAAGGCACAGACGTGTGTCTTTGAGAACACTTCCACATGCTAGGGGTAAAGGGCCTGCAGATGCCGGCTGGGGTTGTGGATGGAGTGGAAGAAAAGCGACACCATGCCACAGTGAAGTTTCTATGCCTTGGGAAGTGACAGAGGGGTTTTAAGCACGGACAGGTACATCCGAGTTTTATTTTAGAAAGAGCACTCAGGCAGAGATGTGGAGGGGGGACCTAAGGGGCACTGCAGTGACATCAGGGGAACAGCTAGGAGGCCATGGTGTGTGTCCAGGAAAAGGGGACGGTGTAGGTCTGGACCTAGGGTGACCAACCTGTCCTGATTTGCCTGGGACTGTCCGGGCTTTAGCACAGAATGTCACACACCCCAGGAAGCAGTCCTCAGTCCTGGGCAAAAGGGTGGTTTGACAACCTAGGTGGCTCAGGAGGGGGCTGGGGGAAGGGAGAGGTTCGAGAAGTGCTGAGAGAGAAAACCAGCAGAAAACAGGGAAGGGAGGAAGAGGAGGTCTCTGAGGGGCCTCCCAGAACTTTGGCAGAGATGACTGGGTACTGATGGTACCATGGAGAGGTCAGCCACAGTGGTGGGCAGCGGGGGGTGGGGGGGGAGATGAATTAAAGATCATTGTTAGCACATACTTTTAGCACATACTTGGCCACGCACTCTTCTGAGAGCTTTGCATGGGCCCATCGTTTCGCTCCCCACAACAACTGGGTAAAGTCAGAGCTATTACTATCATCCCCATTTACAGGTGGTGAGACTGAGGCACAGGCAGGTTGATTAACTCGCCTGAAGTCACATAGCTGGTAAATGGCAGAGCCAAGCTCTGAACCCAGGCCGTCGCCGGGCTTTGGTTTCGTAGGTCTTGAGTTTGGGGTGTTGTGGGGCGTCTGGTTCATGCGGAGTTGAATGCAGAGTCAGAAACTCAGGGGGACGACTGTCCAAGCAGGGGATAGAGATTTGGGTGTCCTGAACGCATCGGACTCAAACCACGTATGTGGGTTCTGGAGTCCAGGAAATGAGAGAAGAAGTGAGCCATGGACAGAAGTTGAGAACAGTAGCTATTTAAGGAACCCGTTTAGGAAAGAGTCCAGGGAAAGGGGCCAAAAAGTCACAATGAATTGTATCCATTATGTCTCCACTGTATCCATTATGTAGAACTTTGAGAAAAAGAGAAAAGAGGAAGGAAATAATTTTTAAAACACTAGAAAACATGTTAGAAACAAAAGATGGGAGTCTCCAGACTGATGATGTCCTTTAAAGATCTATGATAATGAATGAGAAAGATTCCTCCAAGGCTATTCCAGAGCCTTCTATGAGGTGAAACGTCAGAAGCTTCTAGAAAGGGAGAGAAAGGAACAATCTTCTACAAAGACTGGGCAGAAGAAGGCATCCTGTATCCCAGCAGCAGTGTCAGAAACTAGAACATTGTGTTTGAACCAACTGAGATCAAATTGATAAAATCGAAGCCATACTGGGAATATGGACAAAGCTTTCTTAGTTTGGAAAGATGATGCAGACCAACACTTCTACGCTGCAGATTAGAGTAATGATGTGTTTCACCTAGTAATTAAGTATCTTACTTTGTATTCTGTAGACAGAAAACACACATGTCCTCCTTAGTTACTGCAGGCTATTGAAAAATCAATCCTATATGAGGCAGTGGAGAAAAAGCCATATAAGTTCTCAAGTTGAGGTCACATGGGTCAGATGCTCTGGTTGTCCCAAGGGCATTTGGTGAGGACTGGAATCAAGAGGCTTGGGTTTCAACAGTCATGGGGACCTGGGGACAGGTCCAAGGGACTGGAAACTGAGATCCCCTTCAATGACTCTTAAAGTCTATGCTATCATCTAAAGAAAACCAGCACCTGTGTTATGGGGTGAGGATGATGAGTCTCCCCTGGGAATTCCAAGCCACAGTCTACCCTTCGGTGGGTCTGAGCTATATGTGTTCACTGTCTGCCTGGTCTGGGAATTTCTGAGCTAGAAATTCACTCGAAATATGGTCCTGGGCTGATAATAGCCCAGAAGCAGAATTTCTCTAGAGGGTCAAGTTTTCGACCCTGGTTTCCCACAGATAAAACCCCAACAGGCAGGAGCTCCCAGCTGAGGAGACCTACAAGGAAGGAAGCACCCGTGTGTCTGCAGCTATCCATCATGCACAGATACACAAAAGGAGGTTGGATGTTTGCTCTTGGAAAAGTAACACGCATCTTCTCTAGAAAATAGGACTCGAAGAGGTTTTACTTGCGTTTTGTTTTGTTTTGCACTTCCCGCATATCACTAAACTTTTTTTTTATAGGTTAAAGGGAAGGGAAGGAGTATACTAGTTGCTAGAGAGGTAAGTGGGTCATGGTAGAGATTTTCCTTCCAGGATGGAGAAGACCCGAGCACATTTCCAGGTTATGAGGGAGGAGCGGCAGAGAGGGTCCACGCTGGAGAAAAGGAACCGGAAGAGATGCGAGAGGCTCGAGCGATGCCAAGGGTCCCGCTGAGGTGGGAGGTCAGGTGTTTGCTCCGTGGATGTGGGATTTATTCTAGAAGCACTCAGAGCATACAGACTGAGTAGGGAGTTTGATCCCAAGTGTCTCCCTGGTAGGTGGTGTGGGGGGAGGGGTGGGAGTCTGGAACAGGGTTCAGGTGTAATCATGGGACTCACACCCCAGCCGAGTAGGGAAGTGAAGTCCAGAGTGGCCAACAGATACAGAGCATATGGGCAGGTCCTAGGTCTGTACCAGTAAGGGAATTGCAATCAGTAAGTATCAATAAGGGCCAAGGGCAGCGAGGTTAGAATTGGTTCAATGTGGTCCGAGGTTTGTTGCACAGGAGTCTGAATGCTGGTCGTGCGGGGGCAGCCAGACGTGCCTGGAGTTTCTATTTTTCGGGCATGTTCTAGGTCCTTGGAGGCCCAGCAGGTGGAAAGCAAGACCCTAACTCTGCCTTACTCACGCTCAGGACTTCTCAGGTTGGGGAAAGGCAGATTCTTTCTGATAGGAAGATGTGCTTCGATGGGCAAGGCTCAGAAGTGACTTCCCCTTCTCAGAACACCCCAGGCTCCCAGCCACAGTCCCTGAGTACCTCAATGGGCCCCGTACTTACAGAGAAGGACCTGCCCGCCAAGTTGGAGGACTTGACCACCTCCGTCACGCTGACATTCAGGCACGTGTGGTCTGTGATGGGAGCAGCAGAATGTGGGGTCTGGGGGGGCCCCGAACCTGGGAGGAATGAGGTGGGATGTGACCTTGACGGGGATCATTTTTCTGGCTTCATTACCTCTCCAGTAAAAAGCTGCTAACACCAATGATGCCTAACTCCTAGGACTCAAAGAGTTGAGGTGTTGGCTTTGAACCTGGTCTGGCCTCCAATGAAGGTGTTTGGTGACGTCAATCCACCTTACAAAACTTTTCATCATTCCAGAAGACTGGGGAGCTAACAAGAGAGCTCATATGTTAATTTACGATATGCACCTAAATCAGAATCTTTTATCGTCCCCATTTTAGATTTAGGTAATTAGGTAATTAGACCGACTCTCTGATTATCCACTGTAGAGCTCTAATCAGGTCATTGGCCAGAATTACATAACTGGGACCAGCGGTGCCTTCTGTGAACTGGAGGGTTCCTGTCCCATGGAACGACATTTGCAATACAACATCTCCAGACCCAGCACAGCTAGATCTGGGGCCCAGCGCAGAGGAAGGTGGATAAATGCACCTGCCTCCCCGTGGTCTCTCCAACCTCCAGCGGGTGTCTCATCAGGCTACAGGGCGTAGCCAGAAGCCACAGCTACGGTATGTTACCCGCTGGTGATGAGCCTGATGGTGGCTCCCAAGCCTCGCCCAGGTACCTGCTGGGCAGCCCTGGGCCCAGCACCGGAGTGACTCAACCTCACTCTAGGATCTCAGGAACAGGTGGGAGGCCCAACTCTCCTGGCTCTCCCCGTCTACTGTCACTCGACTGTCATTGTCTCCTTCTCCCCCATCCACCCCACTTGTCATGCCTTCTCTGCCTCTCTCTGCTGTCCCCGCTTCTCACCATCAGTGTCACTGGTTGGAAGGGCCTTCAGGACCAGCCCAGTGGCCCGCAGGGAACCGGTGACCACTTGGGCGCGGTGGCTGAGCAGGGCCTGGGGAGGGGGGAGGCAGAAACAGACGGGGTCCTCAGAACAGCCCTATCCCTGGGCATCCTCGTGTCGACAGTCCTGCTTCCCGCCCCGGCCCTGACTGAGATTCTTGTCTGTGTCACTCGTGTCCAACAAGGGGCTAGCAGAGAAAGGCTTAGAGCACTCTTGGCCACGGACAGCACATTCAGCCTCCCAGACCCAAGGGAATATGTCTCTGTTGACATCAGTTCAAGCGTCTGGTTGGCCAGGGAGGAAGGGATTTTTGAGCGATGCAGCCCCCCGTTCCTGAAATCAGATGGCCTCCTGGGCTGCATGCAAGGCCAACTGCAATCTGCCCGTCCCAGCAAAACTCTCCAAAGGCTGGGATAAGCCTGGGGGAAGCTTCAAGAAAAGGGGCTGAAAGTTCTTCTGGCTCTGTCTGCTCCCATTTGCACATCTGACACCGGCTTCCACCCTGCCGTACCCCCTCCCGCCCCCCTTCCTCTGAGCACGCCCACGGCCACGCACCTTCTGGTAGCAGATGGACAGCTCGGCCCCCGGGCCTTCAGCCGTGCCCTTCCTCCTGGGGGAAAAGCCATCTGAGGGACAGGGGAGAAGAGGCTGAGGGTGGGGGGTTCCCGCCCCTCCCGCCCCTCCCGCCCCGCTGTCCACCTCACTGGGGGCGAGCTGTGCTCCTGAATCTCGACAGCCTCTCCCCCTGCATGGAAGGAAGCACCAGTCCAGGCAGGCTTGGCTGAGCCAAGGGCATCTGGTATTCAGCGGAGGTGAGAGGCGGGAGGACTTTCTGGAAACGGGCTTGAGGGGGAGCTGAGGCCACCCCCGTGGGAGGGGGGATGGACGCTCACCTTTGGGGAGTCTGGAGTCTTGGACGTCCACCTTCAGCTCGGTGAGGAAAATGTCCTCTGCGGGGCCTTGGCTCAGGTCCCTGAAGATCTGGAGGGAAGTAGGGGGGCGGGAGGAGGTTGCAAGGAGGCCAGCTTTGCCGTGAGCTGCTCCCCCAGAGCCTGGGTGCTCCACCATCCTACTAATGCTAGATTATGAGCCACATTCAGTGACTTCCTGCACCTGTGGTCCACATGTCTCCAGCCACGTAATGACTTGATAAATTGGGGAAGAAGCTGGTCTCAAAACCCCCTGTACCCACTACCATCTAATGGGTGGGGGGGAGGGGGGCTCGGAATTCACGCAGGGTGGGGCTGTGTCCGGTGAGGGCCAGAGAGGGGAACCACATTCCTGACTTGCATTGCAAGGCAGGCTGGGAAAGAAGGGCTAGAGGGAGCTGAGCCACTATGTGCAGTGGGGGGCAGAAATCTGGGGCAGGAGGGGCCTCTGAGGGGAGCTGGGTAGTGCAGTGGGAAAGAGTGGCCACGGGAGGGGGGCTGGGGCACAGTCCCGCTTTGGGGGCACCTCCCCCAAATCACCTAACTCGAGCCCCAAGCCACATGATTAAGTTCCTTCTAGCGGTCTCTGCCCGTGGCTGCCCGCGCCCATAAACCCAGATCCGTGAGGGGGGCAGGTGCACTCCTGGGGCCTCTGGCTGAAGGCGTTGACCGTGGACGGGGGCCTAACCTTTCCTTTGTGGTACCAAGATGTTTACTCCCTTTACCTGCGCTGTGAGAGGTTTCTCCCATTCATTCCACTTTGTGTTGTATTGTCTTTTGGAAACCCAAGAAAGGGCCTACATCCCTCACTGAGGTCAAAAAGAGGGGAAAGACCCACCGTGGGATGCCCAAGGAAGGAGAATCCAGAAGGAGACAGGAATGGCAGAGGCTGGCCCCCAGAAACCTCCGGGGGATGGAACGGGGCGGTGTGGGGCTTCCCCCAGAACATGGGAGTGGGGACTCACGGAAACAGACAATGGACTTGCACTAGCAGGGGGGCCCCAGCAGAAGCCCAGGACACGTGCCTGCGGACATCAGCTCTGCCACAGATATTTGCCGGGGGAACGCAGGCCGGGTCTTTGGGTGAACGGGACATAAGGGACCAACATCTGGTGGGGGAGGGGTCTCAAGAGTCCCTTTTGTTGCAACCTTACTCTGCACTGGACACCCTGAGAAAGGCCCTTGACCTATGTGACCTCCTTTAACCCCCAGCAGCCCCAGGGGGTAGGTCTCATTGACCCCCTTTTAGGACCCCGGATACTGAGGCTCAGAGATGTGCGCTGACTGGCCCGACGTCACAGGCGGCAAAGCTGGGCTGTCATTCAACATCTCAGCCGCTGCTCTGGAATCCTCCACGTGCCCTCCTCCTTGCCCTGCCCCTCCCCACCATGTTTACCATATTTGAAGCCTCGCAACACCCCTAAGGCTGGTGAAATTCATCGTACCTCCTTGATAGGCGGACAGAATGAATTTTAGAGAAGTTGAGGTGCCCATGACCACAGAGCAAGCAAGTGGAGGGACCAGCAAGGCTGTGGACTCTCTGCCACCCCACCGGGCCTCTGACCCCACACCTGGGCCCCCCGCCGGCCCGCCAGTGCCACACGGATCCACCGTCGTCACGCACATGCGCACACACACACGCACGCCCACACATACACCATTTATTGTGTTAGTGGTAGGAGACTCAACACTCAGATTCAAGGGGCCCCTGGCTGGCTCTCTGGGTAGAGTGTACAGCTCTCGATCTCAGGATTATGGGTTCAAGCCCCATGCTGGGTGCAGAGATTATTTAAAGATAAAACTTTTAAAAAATGAGATTCACACAAAATGCGGACCCATCTTTCCAAGGACGCACAGTTTTCGTGGGGATCAATGCACAGAGCAGGCATGTGACAGAGCCGGAGGGAAAAGCAAGGGCTGTCCCCACAGCGCTGTGGACACAGGAGAAGCACCTGAGCCCGCTTGGGGGGCAAGAGGAGCAGAGGTGAGGACTGGCGAGGATGTGTGGGGGGACGAGGTAGGGTTGAGAAGGGCAGTCCAGGGTAGGGCATGGCGTGGGCAAAGCCATGGAGGCAGGAGCATCGGGGCGTGTATGGAAAGCAAAGACAGAAAGAAGGGGCTGCTGGGCAAGGAAGCCTCCCTGTAGGTCGCAGAGGAGGAGAAGCAGGAGAGAAGGTTCCAGAAGTCAGGCGAGGGGTGGGCTTCATGAAGGGGGAGATGTGTGCCTTCATTTTGCAATTGTGATGCACACACGGATATCATACATGTAATTGTATAGTAAAGGAAAAAAGTATCGTGGCCCACGGTGCCAAATGCAGAAAAGGGTCCAAAAGAGAGGACAGGAGAGCGTCCTTCGGGCCTGGCGCCTGGAGGTCACTGGCAAGAACAGTGTCAGAAGAGCCAGAATGCCTGGTTGGAGGACACAGTGAGACAGAAAATACGGAGATGGTGGTCAGGCCATCTAGCCCCACAGCGCTGGCTTCAGGAGGGACGGATGTGTGACTCACCTCCTGGGCCACAGTGACAGGCATACAGATAGGCACTAGCCTTGATCCCACTGGAAAAGGGACACCCTCTCCCCACTGGGGTTGCTGAGTTTGAAAAAAATGCTGGCCCAGGACGGCTGCGGGTCATCTGGTCGCCAGGAAGGGAGACAAAAGGAGACAGGTGAGGTACCCATCATACCCAGCTTTGCCAAAGCCGGTCAACTCTGCCCTTGCCGGCGAGGTGAGCTGATACAGCTCTTCTCCCGATGCTGGTTTTTATGTCTGTTACTTGCAACTGCGGGTCTTCCCCAACACAAAACAGGTGCCAGGAGGAGTGGAGGGCAGTGAGCATCCTTCCACCCCGTGGGGACTGGGAGGCCTCCCTGCTGGAGCCCCGTGCTCAGACCCCGTGTCTACGGAGGCGGAAGCATCAGGGAGTGGAGATGCAGGGGTGTGTCAGGGAGGGACACTAAGAAAGCCACAACTGTCAGCAGACGCTGGTCGAACTTGGCACAGAGTGTTTCTGCCCTCAAGAGGGCCCCTTTCTGGCTGGATCAGCCTACAAGAGCTAGACAGCCTTGGGAACCAGAGGGTTTAAAATTTCGACTTCCCTGCTGCCATTTGAGCTTGGGAGCTTGAAGACAAGCTGGGAGATAAGGTCAAGACAAAGTCTGGGAAGAGTCAGATTCTCCAGCTCTCCCTCCCAGGCCCTGTCACTGGGCCACACACTTAGCACGGAAAAGAATAGAAACCTTGCAGGCTAAGGAGGCAGGTTCTGGGGGAGAAGATGTGAGGGTCTTGCCAGGACGAGAATATGTGATCAGAGACTGGAAAGTGAGCATCTAGGATTTCCGAGGTAAAGCAATTCCTGGTAATTACTTTCCCAGTTGCCTGTCCCCAGTCCACCACAGGGTCAGGGCCTAAGGCATCCCTCCTCGAGAGCAAGTTCTTCTGCTTGCACTGGAGGTCTTTGAGGCTGGGAATTATCTGATGTATTCAAAGATTGGGAAGCTACAGTTAACAACCAAGACCAGTGAGTCTGTGATTCGTGCCCTGGTACCCTGCGTTTCCCCAGAGCCAGGGTGTTTGGTGGTGGCATCCCAGGGTCCTGCTGGTGCGCTACCCATGGAGTCCCAGGGTTGGGGATACTGACCTTGACAGTGTAGATTTGGAAGTAGATGGGTTGGGTGCCCATGCGAACATAGTAGGTGATGACATCCAGGATGAAGGGGTCCACAGTCCGGGATGTGTCCAGGGAAGGGGGCTGTGAGGGGGCAGAGAAGGTCTTCAGTTATGGGGGCTCCATGCAGTTGTGGGGGGCTGCTATTCTGGTAACAGAGAAACTCTAATGGTCCCACGTATCCTCTGTTGGGCACTAATCCAGCTGGGCACTCAAACATACTCCAGCACTTTCCTTCCCCCTGATTTCCACTCCTAACCCAGGCAAGTCCATCCTCGATTCATTCCACTTGCACAAAGACACTTGGGGTGCCTCTAGGTCGAAGGCACTGAGTAGGGTGCTTGGGGTAGACAAGATGCCTGAGATTACAGCCAACGATCACCGAGTCTGGGCTGGGTTCCAGCCACTCACTGGTCAAGCGACCTGCGGCTTGAGAATTGAGGGGATCTGCTGTTTCCTTCACTCTTGGGGTATCTCCATATATCAACAGATTAATTTACATGTGTGGGCTATCAGAAAAACACTAGTGTCATGTCCTACACACCTTCCTCCTATGGTTATAAAGCAGAACCATCAGATTTTTTTTTCCTTTTAGATAAACAGAATGCTTACATAGTACCAGAATTGGAAAGCAGCTAGAGTTTATCTCATCCAACCCCCATCTGATCCTATAACTCTCTATAGACCAGACTCTCCCGTCTGGTCTATAGAAACACTGCTCCCTTCAGAAAGGCCACATGGAGGAACAGAGAATGTACTCCAACAAGGCTGTCCTCACCTACACCGTTTCCAATCTCTTCACATGGAAACCGCTTTGGGAGGAAACACTGGGGCTATACAAATCGTTAATTCTGAGGGCAAGCAGAGGAGGGAGGGCCCAAGTCCCACGTGTGTCCCAGCATGAAAATAAAAACTACTGACGAAAGAGCGTAAGTAAGGGGTACCTGGGTGGCTCAGTGGGTTAAAGCCTCCGCCTTTGGCTCAGGTCATGATCTCAGGGTCCTGGGATCGAGCCCCGCATTGGGATCTCTGCTCAGTGGGGAGCCTGCTTCCCCTCCCTACCGCCTGCCTCTCTGCCTACTTGTGCTCTCTCTCTCTGTCAAATACATAAAATCTTCAAAAAAAAAAAAAAAGAGAGAGAGCACAAGTAAGATCTTCCTCCTCTAACAGCCTCCAAGTTTTGAGGAAAAAGTATTTCAATACCCAGCTAAACAGTCTCCTGTGCATACACAAAGACATTTTTTGGTAAGCGGTAACTCAGGGAGGAGGCCTCCCCCGACACCTCCATGAGAAGGTACAAGAAAAACACCCCAATCAAGTAGACTGTCAAGTCAGAAATCAGGTACCTAAAATCAAGGTGCATAACACCCTAAAAGAGGCTGACTCGCCTCCAAATTCCAATCGAAATCCTGAGGGGGGGATTAAAAAAAAAACAAACTTGACCACATTTCTAATATTTATCTGGAAACAAACAGAAACAAACACAGTCTGAAAGGTTTCCAAGAAGAAGAGTAAGGGGATAGGCTTGCCCTGCCAGCTCTTAAATTAAAAAATGCTAACGTGGCCGGAAATGAATGGATTGACAAGAAAGAGTAAGTGTCACAGAATAAACTCAAGCATCTGTAAAAACTTAGCAGATGATAAAACTGGCATTTCAGACTGATGGGGCAAGATGGCTCATGCAATAAATAGCTTTAGGACAACGGGCTGAGCATTTGGAAAAAAGCAATTTGCATGCCTCACACTCAGCCCTGAAATCGATCTCAGGCAGGTTATTTAAATGGAAAAACCGAGACCTGAAAAGTTCCGGGAAATGATGAGTGAATATTAATTTAATCTTGGATATAATTCAGTCTGTGGAGAAGACCTCTTGAAGCAGGACTCCGGTATCACAAAGAATAAAAAGTCCTGTGTGTAACTGCATAGAAATATTAAACTTCTGTAAGTCAAAAAACTGCTACTGACGAACTTGACAAGCAAGTAAACAAAAGTGGAAAAAAATGTCTGTAACCCCAAAAAGGCTAAAAGTCTCTTAATAGGAGTGGTGCCTGCCCGGCTGGCTCAGTCGGTGGAACTAAAAGACTTAATCTCAGGGTTGCGAGTTTGAGCCCCACATGGAGGTAGAGTTTACTGGAAAGATATAAAAAAGATTCTCCTAATAGGTGAAGGCCTTTTCAAGTCAGTAAAAGATGGGAGCTCCCTCCCTACCGCCCTGCCCAGGAAGGTTGGGGGTACAGCCTGGTTTTGTGGTCATGAGGATATGCTCTGGTTCCAAGCAGGACTCTACCTCTCATCTCGCCACTTCGGACAAAGTTACCTAATTTCTTTGCACCCCGGCGGCTTGATCTGTACAATGGGGACATGGCAACGTTAGCACCCACCCGTAAGAGTGCCTGTACTTGGTAGGGCTGCTGAGTGTCAAGCCCGTGGGAGCTCTCAGGAAGCACGGGCTCTTACAATCACAGAGACCGTCCCAGGAACCTCAGAAGAGAAGGAACAAATCGCCTATACACTTACGGGAGAATGTTCTGCTTCATATTTTCCCCAGTGTCCCCCCACCCCCAAGCAGGTACCTGCTAAGAGCTCCAGCATGAGCTGCTTAGGGCTCCTCTCTTGTGCTCCCTTCCAGCCTCATCCCACCCTGGGGGACCCTGGGGCTGACTCTTGAGGCTGAGAGCCAAGGGTGGTATCTGAAAATGGGCCCCTCCCACCTCCCCCCTACCCTTGCATCTCCCCTACCATCTCTGCCAGCTTGTGGATGGCCGGGCAGAGTGTGTTGACTGTGTTCTGGTACCATGGGTCTGCGCGGCCCAGGAACGCCGCCAGCTCTTGGAGCTCCGAATGTCTGCTTGTCACCGGCTCCTGGGGACAGGGGGACGGGGCAGACCCATCAGCCCAGTCTCTTGGGACTTTCTTCCCGGCCAGAGGGTCCCCTAGGCAAACTGGCCAATCACTGAACCTCTTGGTTCTCTCTGTTTCTCTGCCATGTGAAGACGATTGGGTTTTACTCTCCCAGTGAAGCTGGGATACCCAGGAAGGAGGGCCACTTGCCAGGGACATCGAAAAATGACCATGAGCCTTGGAAGTGGAGAGATAAGGACTGCTTTGAATTTAATGCTCCCCGAAAAGCAAACAGAGTGGGACAGCAGAAATGCAAAGCTGCAAGGGTAAGCTTGTCCCCCATCCCCCAATAAATCAGGGGGCTCCCACCGCCTGAAATTTCCTTTTATGTGACCCCAGGAAGTGTGGTGTGTGCGTGCCTGCGTGTGTGTGTGTGTGTGTGTGTGTGTGTGAGAGAGAGAGAGAGAGAGAGAGAGAGAGAGAGAGAGGTGGCCCCTGTTTGAACTGACGCTTCCAATGAATTCCATTAGAAAAGCCAAACAAAATTCAGCAATGGGCAGGCTGCCCCCAGGAGGGGACATTCAGCCTCCAGGGCCCGGGTCTGGGGGTCCTGGGACACAGACCTGCCCTGGAAGGGCTCTCCTGGCCCCGCATCCTAAGGAAGGACGGTCCTAGCCCCTGGAGTCAGGGATGTGGTTGCTTGGCCCCTAAGCCAGACCCCTACTGCGGACAGCCCCTTGGTCCTCCCCCACGTCCCCACTCCCCTGCCCCGCCCTGCCCTGCCTTGCCACCTCAGGCGCCAGCACGGGGATGTAGTAGAGCTGCAGGCTGAGTCTGGGGGTCAAGCAGAACTTCTGGGTCTCCCGTTTCCTGGCAAGGGGTAGCAGAGCACAGGGGTAAGGGCAGGTGCTGCGGCTTCAGACAATTCCACATCCCAGTTCTGATCGTTACTCTAGGCGGTCTGGGGGTGGGGGGGGGTGGCGATGCCCCCAATCTCCCTGAGCCGGTGTTCTCAGCTATAGAATACGTACAGTAAAGTCTGTCTCAGGGGCGGGGGGCGGTGGCAAGGATTACGGAGCTCACGGGAAAGAGCTGAGCTGGTGAGCATGGTGCTGGGTGATGGCGGGGTCTGACCGTGCCCCTGCTGCATCCTGGCCAGGCCCTCCCACCCTGTCCCCAGCTGTCCCCCCACCAGCCGCCCGCCACAGGGCCCTACCTGAGGCAGTGGTAGGCCTGGGCCAGGCGCCCCAGCATCCTGTCATCCCCCAGGACCAGCACCCTGGCCGTGTGAAGCCGGGAGACCCCCGGCAGCATCCCCCCATCTCCGCTGGGCAGGCCTGTCCTGCGGTGCAGTCCCTGGGGCCCGTCCCAGCACGCAGGCATCAAGATGTCGGCAGGCCACACCCGCTTCTTGATGCCTCCTTTGCGCTGCAGCCCGGCACGCTCCATCTCAGGGCTGCCGGGGACAGGCAGCTCATCAGCCCCCATGGGCAGGTCCCGCTCGATGCCACTGTCAGTGGACAGCATGGACGCCCGGGCCAGCTCCCGGTCTGGCCAGAGGCCCTGCAGATCCAAGGCCTCCAAGTCGGCACTGAGGCGCAACTGGGATTGCGGGCGCAGGAAGAGGACCAGCTCCTTCCCTGGGATGCAGAGAACAAGGGGACCATCAGGGGAGAGAAGTTACGGGAGGCTGGCAGGGCCTCACCCCAGGAAGGCCTGTGGTTCCAGGTTTCTCAAACACCATTCAGCCCAACAGAAGCCCCATGAAGGAACAAAGGTTCTGCGGCCAACAAAGACGGAGAACCCTGAATATTCCTGCCACCTGTAGTTGAGTTCCATTAGTAAACATGTTAAAGGCTCTGAGAAGTCCTGCAGTAAAGAAGTCATCTTCACTCAGTAACTCCCATTTAGCTGACCCTGGAGTCTTCTTTATCATATCCACTCCCTGGCTTCCTCCCATCCTCCCCCGGTCTGTAGCTTCCCCTGGGACATAGAGAACAGACCAGACCTGCTCCAGGAAAGACTTCTAGGCTTTTCTAATCTACTTCCATTTTATTATCCATGAGAAAACTGAGTCAGTCTAGCGTGACCCAGCACATGAAAGGAAGTGCCAGGTCTTGGACCCAGTTCACTAGCCCAGCACTTCCCGCCATGATCCACACCCTTGTGCCCCCACCCCCTGCCTGGCTGGAGAAGGGCTGGGGACAGCTGCATGGGAACACCAGTGTGGACAGAAGTGTCAGGCAGGCGGGTCTCTCTGGAAGGGCCCCCCTCCGGCTGTGGGAATGGTAACTTCTTTCATGTCACTGTCATCATGTCACTGTCATTGTGTCCCTTCTTAGGGACATTCATTGTTGGGGTCAGCATGGCATGAGGCAATTCCTAATCCCAGGAGGCCAGCGGCTGATGCACTGAGCTATTCTGACATGGAGAAAATGGGTCCTTCTGCATATGCAGAACAACTCAGGCACTAAGGAGCACACACATGGACACACACAAAATGAGGACACACATACAGAAATGAGACACAGTACACACAGTCACAGACGGACACAGACCCGTGAAGACAGTTTCACGCGCGCGCGCGCGCACACACACACACACACGCACACACACACCCCTCCTTCCAGCCAGCTCCCCGCCAGCCAGGTGCGAGGCACGGGACTCACAGAGCTGCTCTTCGTCGGTCCACAGGTGGAAGGAGATGTGGGGGCTGGGCAGAGGGATTCTTGGCTGTGGGTCCTGCAGGGGGTCACCTGAAGGCAGGAGGAGGGCTGTGGCATTCCCCTCTGCCCTCCCCGCTCCAGCTCCTGTAAGGCCCAGAGGGGGTGCAGAGTCCCTCTCTCCCACATGGTCCAGCCCAGGCTTCCTCTCTGTCCCATCAGCTCACCCAGGGCCCAAGAGCACACCCGTCCCCTCCCTGCCCGAGGCTGTTGAGCGGCCCCCCGCTTCCTCCAAACTTCCTGGCTCGACCGTTAGGACCTTTCACAGACCAGCTCAGTGTCTTTTGGGACCTCTCCTCCCACGGTGGGTCCCTTCCTGCTAACCCCAAGCCAGAAGTACAGCCAGGCCAGGACGCCTTTCCCGCTGCTGTGTTTCTGTAACACAGCCTGGGTCTGATTCTTAGGAACTGGGTGATGTTGGGCGAGATCCTTCAGTCTCTTTCTAACTCAGGCTTCTGGTCTGTAAAACGAGGGGCACAGTAATTTCTATCTCAGAAGTTTACTCTGAGGATTAATCCATGCAATATTCAAATATATGCCAGGTGCCTCGAACAGCAGCTGGGGTACAGGAGGTGCCCGGCAGGGTTAGCTGTCACTGTGACCAAGTCACCCACCTTCTCAGCCCCCACCTTCCAAGTCCCCAGGCTCCCACCCGCGTCAGCCCCGCGTGGCAGGTGCAGCGCTGCTCTCTGGCGCCCCCCTGCGGGCCCTCGCTGCCCCCGCCTGCTTACCGCAGCAGCGTCCCCTGGCGGCCGCCGCCGGCCCCAGCAGCCCGCAGTAAATCTCCTCCAGCCTCTCCAGGTGTCCCTCCCGGCTCCGGTTGGGTTCGCTGGCCATCTGCTCCACGGCGGCCACCACGGCGTGGAAATAGCACTCCAGGGCGCGGCGAGGGCAGGCCTGCCGGGGAGGGTCGCCAGAGCCTGGGTCCCCGCCCAGCACCCACCCACCCACCCCAACTCTGACGTTGCCTGAAGCTGCTTACACCTGCGGGTCCCTCCTGTCCCTCACACCGAGGCTCCCTGCAGTCTGGACCCCAGAGGGGCAGGGATCGCCGTCCTGGATGCAAACTCCGGGCAGGCAGGCCTTTGGTCACAGCTGCACCCGGGGCCCCTAGAACATCTTCAACCACATAGTAGTTGCTCAAGAAAACAGTTGCTGATTATTCCCTGGACTTCTGTCATTCCTGCGCTATCTTGACCTACCGTGCTGGTATTTACTTGCCATTTGTCTTCCAATCAGCTCACTCTTTTTGGTTCAAAATGATTTCAGAGGGACAATTTATGTTGCTGCTCTATCTATATAAAAAGGCTAGTGCCTCAGGGAATCTTGTAATAACTAAGATGAATATTAACAATCACAAGGCACTATTATTAAATTCTAGCCAGGTACTGAGGCCTGCCGAGCTTTAGAGCTTAGAGCTTGCCTTCTTTCTCTCTCCTTCTAAAAGATTCATTATTTATTTTAGAGCGAGAGTTCATGCATGAGTACCGGGGAGAGGGGGTGAAAACCGTAAGCAGACGTGGGGCTCCCACCAGGGGCTCACTTTAGGGCATTGTGGGGTTTAATCTCACAACCCTGAGCTCGCGACTTGAGCCAAAACCAAGGATCAGACGTTAACCAAACCAAGAGTTGGGTCTTAACCAACTGCACCACCCAGGCACCCCTGCTGCCTTCTCTCTTTAAAAGAGGGAAGTTAGTGTTAAAGAAGTTAGGGGTAAAGCACCACGCTGAGCCCTTCTCCTTAATGGAAGTTAACGGAACCAGGTTTTGGAAGCCTCTCTCTGTGCATTCCAAGTTCTCAAGCATGGTTGCTTCCTGCTTCCTTTAGTATACACGGCATCTGTCCTACCAGCTCATTTGCTCTCTGATTCCATCTTCTATACTCTCCCTCTCTTCCACTCTGCTTTGGCTACACAGGTCTCCTTATTGTTCCTCAAACGCACCAGACATGCTTACACCCCAGGGCCTTTGCACTTGCTGTTCCCAATGCTTGCACGTTCTCTCCGATATCCACATGGCTCGCTCTTTCACTTCCTTTAGGAGTTGACTCAAAAGTCACCTAACAAGGAGCCTTCCGTGATCACACGATCTAAAATTTCAGCCTCTCCTCCCAATTTCACATCCTTCTTTGCACATTTCCCCCTTTTGCTGTTATTTATCATACTGTACATTTTACTTATTATCACACACACAGAAAAAGAAAGAGATACACTATAATATAAACTCCCCAAGGACAGGAATTTTTATCTGGATCCCAGCATCTAGAAGGAACACGGCCTGGCATGTCATGAGTGCTCAGTAAATATTTAATGTATTTATAAATTAAGCACCAAGATGAAACGGGCCCTGAGGGCTTTTCCAATCAGATTCATATGTTCCTCTAATTGCATTATTTGTTTGTTCTGCAAACATTTATTGGAGTCCAGCTGGTCAGAATGACGTGCTCTCCCTTAATCAGGAAGACACAACCCTCCTTGGCAGACCTCTAGCCCAGAACGGAGGTGGGTCTGCCTGTGTCCTTGTTAGAACCCCACATCCTCTAAGCCAGGAGACGAGCTCCTTCAGTGGCGGGGCGGGGTGGGGGGACTGAGGGAAACAGCCAGAGGATATAATTGAGGGCACTTGCTCAGAGGGTCTTATGGGCCATTGTAATGACTATGGCTCTGACACCATGTGATGTGATAAATGCACGTGACTACCCAGATCCCCCAATTTCAGGACTGAGACACACCCGAGCCCTGCTGCTGGAAGCAATGACAGCTGTCCACGGTGAGCTGAACCTCTTGCCAAAGTCGGCCTCCGCTGAAGAAAGCCACCTCCACGCTCACGCCCCGCTGCCGAGGACAGTCCACTCCCAATAACTAGCAGATGTGGAAGGAAGTAAAAAGGTCTGGTCCCTCACAGTAATTCAGGACAACTCCGATTCCTATGCAATCAGCTGTGGGCAAACTCCTTCTGGGGCTCAGGAGATTGAAGACAAGAAAGACAGCTGACCCCGAGGAGATGTGGCTGGTCTCCAGTCCCACTGCTGATCCAGTGACATCTGGCCCCCAAAGCTGTGTCTCTAGGCCCCTTACTTGGCCTCATCCGCACATCGCTCCGGAAATCCCCGACACCTGCCTTTGCAAAGCAGCCTCCCTGGTTCCTGTTCCCCTGACCCCACAGTGCGGGACGCACGGCCCCAGGTGGCACCGTCCCCCTCAAAGATGTCCTGTACCTGCTACAGCCCGTGGCCGGAGCATCTCTAACCTATTGGAGCCTTGGCTGTGCACAGTGGCCCAGGCTGAGTCAGGCAGAGAAATTAGGATGCAGACGGGTGAGCGTGAGAAAGGAACAAAATGCCCCGGACAGGAGCAGGGGGCGAGTTAAATAACTAACAGCGCACTCAGAGGTGAGAATATGGTGCAGCCATCAGGGCTGCATATTTTCAAGGGAAAACACTCCCATGTGGCGTATTTCCAGTGGGATGGGGGATATCGGTATTATGTAAGCGCACACACCCATGGGGTATATAAAAACCATATACAGAGCTTGGGATCTCCTTTTGTTAGAAAGGAGCGGTGGGGGAGCAGGGCTGGGAAGCGGCAGAACGTAGGTCTGATGTCACAGAGATCTGGGTTCAAATCCTGACTCAGTCCATTTGTATCTGTGTGACCACGGGCAGGTCAGTAACCTCTCTGTGCCGGTTTGGATCATTCTGCCCATTTCACAATGTTAAGATGGGATACACGTGAAGCGCTTAGCACGGTGCCTGGGACACAGCAGACATTCACTCCACGGCAGCTAGGATGATGAGTGCTGCCAGTCTGGTTCAGGACACAGACCACAGTGTTCACTGCTAGTATGTCTGGGCAGACAGGCCTGCGGGATGTTTGTTTCCTCTTCTGTCTTACGTGCATTCCCCCCACCCAAGATCTTCCTCCGTGAGTGTGTCCCCCTTTTTGACTGAGGGGAAGGTGGTATGAAAACAGGAGAAGCGGGAGGGTGAGTGGGAGTGCTGGTGTGGGCGGCAGCCCAGGAGGGCTGGGGCGGGGCGATTACCTTCAGCTTGCTCTGCAGGGCGCTGGCGTGGCAGGCGTCCCCGAGTGCCGCCTGCAGGGCGTGGGAGACCACGTGCCGCATGCAGGCCTCCGGGGTCTGCTGCACCTGCGCTGCCTCGATCTCCAGCAGCAGGGCGCTGCACACGGAGGGAGATACCAGCTCCGGATCCACGAAGAGGAACACTCTGAGGGCAGAGATGGCAGGGGGCGCTAGTGAGGGTGACCCCCCACCCCAGGAGGAGAGCCCCCGGATGGGCACCGTCAGAGCCTCGCAGCCCCCAGGTGTTTTGTTTCTCCAAACACAGGAGCCTGGAGTTTGAAAGTCGAGGTCGGGGGATGGCAATAGGGAGTGGTGGGGACTGGGGCAGATCAGAGCAGGTAGGAGCAGCTACCCCCTGCTGGGGTGGTGGCGGGGGAGAGGGCTAGGTTAGTCTCATGTCCAGGTAAGCCTCAACCGAAATCCTGCTCCCTCCCCTAGCTCCGTAGCCCACTGATGACATCACCCTCCAGGACAGACCCTAAATCCTTCCTGCCCAAAGGCGCTCTGGACCCTGAGTGCACCCCATCTCCTCCCATTGCCTGATCACACCCAAAAAACCAGCCCCCCGCACCTGCTCCCCTTCCCGGCTGCCAGCTCCTCTGGGTCCCTCTAGCTCCCTGCACCCCAATCTGCCCCTTCCGCAGCTAGTTCAGCAGTGGCACCTGCAGGGCAGGAGGCAAGGCACCCCCACTCCATCAGCCCCTCTTCCCAACACAACAAGCAGACATTTGCTCAATCTTGTATAAAGGGCCGGGCACACACAGACCAGAGCCCCAGATTCCACGGTGTGCTTGTGGCCTGAGCTGTAAATACCCCAGGGCTGCCTCTGGCTGCCTGGCTGGTTGATGCTGCATCATGGCTAAGGGCAGGGTGGGACAACAGAACTCCAGAGTGGCTCAGTGTCCATGTCACCTTCTGCATGGGAGCAGGATGGCTCAGAAGCCAGCCCAAGAAGAAAGACCTACCCTGCTTCCGGGGAGTCCCCAGAGAAGCCAGGCCCTGCCCACCCTTGACAATACGCCCCACAGCTGGACACATGGCATGGACGGGAAGCTCTGCTGGGGTTCATCCCCACCCTGCCCGGTCCCCCTCAGTGAGCAGTCATGGAGTCCCAACATCTAGAGGGGACAGAAGGTAGCACCCTTCCTGGGGCCACTCACCTCTCCTGGTAGGGGTACAGCTCATGCGTCAGGTTCTGCTCGGCAATGACCAGCCTTTGGTACAGCGTCCCTGCAAAGCAGACCACCTCAGCCAGCAAGCCCCTGGTCCCTGGCCCTCCTTCCTCACTTCCACAGGAGGTGCTGGGACTTCAGAGCTCCAGGGACCTCAGACAGAAAGCAAGACCATGACACGCTACTGCTGGGTCTGAACTGGGGCAGCACTCTCCTGAGGTAACCTTTACCTGGGACAGCTCTTACCTGGGACAGACTTTACCTGGGACAGCTTTTACCTGAGACAGACTTTACCTGGGACAGCTCTTACCTGGGACAGATTTTACCTGGGACAGATTTTACCTGGGACAGCTCTTACCTGGGACAGATTTTACCTGGGACAGCTTTTACCTGAGACAGACTTTACCTGGGACAGCTCTTACCTGGGACAGCTCTTACCTGAGACGGGTTTTCCCTGGGACAGCACTTACTGGGGACAGCTCTAACCTGGGACAGCTCTTACCTGAGGATTTTACCTGGGATACCTCTTACCCGAGACAGCTCTTACCTGGGATAGCTATTACCTGGGACAGCACTTATTGGGGAAAGCTCTTGAGACAGCTTTAACCTGGGACAGCTTTAACCTGGGACAGCTATTACCTGCCACTTACCTGGGACAGCTATTACCTGCCACTTACCTGGGACAGCTCTCACCTGGGAGAGCTCTCACCTGGGACAGATTTTACCTGGGACAGCTCTAACCTGGGACAGCACTTACCCGGGACAGCTCTTACCTGGGACAGCAGTTTCTGTTTTCAGCCTTATGGCACAATCCAAGGCTACGGTGCAGTAGGGGGCGGGCAGGGTTAGCAACTTCGTGCAAAAGTTGTAGGTTCTCCGGTAGAGCTCTTCTGTGATGCCGGTGGCCTGGGTAGGAGGGAGGAGTCAGATGCCTGGAGCCCTAGGTCAGAAGGCTCTGGATGGGGCGGGAGAGTGGGATGGAAAGGAGGAAGGACGGGTCTGACAGCCAGAGCTGGGCTCACACCTCTCTCCCAAACGTACATCCCCAGTGTCTTCTCCCAGCGCCCATGACACACCTCCTGACACCCTGCTCCAATTCACTGTGGTGGGAACCCATCTCCCCCTGTTCTGCTAGCAAATCCACCCCCCTCAGCACCCTTTTCCTCATTCCTGCAGAGCTCCAGGCTTGGCTGTCCCGCGGCCACGATGCTCACAGCGCAGTGCCCGGGGGCTCCCCTTCCCCCCCCCCCCCCCCAGGCTCCTACCCTGCTGGAGCCCAGCCCCATTCTGCTCCTGGATTCCAGCAGCCTCTGAACCGCTCGTCACGCCCCTCATCCCCCTCGCTGCCCACTCCCACCCCCCGCGACTATACACAGCTCCTGGTTCCCATTCTCAAGACGTTTTCTCCACGGCTTGTCTCTCCTCTGTGCAGGGTCAGCGATGGCCCCCAGCGCACAGAGAAGCAATCCCGAGGACTTTCTTCTGACATTCGAGGCTCTCGAGCATTCTACACACCGCCTCCCCCACTTCCCTCACTTCCGTCCCAGGACACCCCTCCGTGTATTAGGGCGAGGGCACAGCTAGAGTGGAGAAGCCAGTTTAGGGCGGGCAGTCCAAGAGTTCTAGGCTCGCCCACGCAGAGACAGGCATCCTCTGAGGGAGAAGACAGTGTCTGGCCCTGGTGTTCTTGGGGTTCCACGATGCCCCCGACCCTCCGCTCTAGCTCACCTTAGTGAGCACGTACAGCAGAGTATGCAGCAAGGGAATGATGACATGCCGGAGGTCTTCGCTTTCTGCCTAGAAAACAGGAGACCGCGGGGCATTTACTGGGCTGGGGCTTGAGGTGGGCTCACCACCTCCTAGCAGGGCACAGGTTGGGTGGGGGTAGGTGTGGGCAGGAGATGGGGTAGAAGGCAAGCATCCCACCATGCCAAGGGGAGGGAAAAGGGCACAGTCTGCCCCAGCAAGGAAGGGGTGGGGTGGGGAGGGAGCATGGGGGTGGAGCGGGCTGGGAGAGCCTGGGGGTGTGGGGGGCATCCACTCGGGGCAGGAGCTGGTGCCGAGCAGTAGGCCAGCCCCCCCGACGTGGAGATGCCCTGAGAGCAGCATCTCCCAAATGGATACGACACAGAGCGTGGAGGAGGGGATCATTTTGGGGAGGTACGAGAACAACTTTTTTTAAAAAAAGATTTTATTTATTTATTTGATGGAGAGAGATCACAAGTAGGCAGGGAGGCAGGCAGAGAGAGAGGAGAAAGCAGGCTCCCCGCGGAGCAGAGAGCCCGATGCGGGGCTCGATCCCAGGACCCTGATATCATGACCTGAGCTGAAGGCAGAGGCTTTAACCCACTGAGCCACCCAGGCGCCCCTACAAGAACAATTTTGAAACATTTTTAATAGGTATGCATTTATGTTTATCCACATTTTCTGTTCCCACAAGTGGGGGTTTTCCATGTGTGGCCATGGCACAGAGCTTCTTTCTGAAATACGCTAAGTCACATGAAACCGTGGGAGTCAGCGTAAAGAAAATATTCCTTCGAGAAGTAGAGGAGGGAGACAGAGCTGCTGAAAATCACGCAGGAGGTCCACAAAGGACCAGAGTTGGGGGGAGGGTGGATGCAGCACTGATGGGACTGAGGCCCCAGCTGGCTTGGCCTCTCTCTCCTTCCTCCCCACCACCCACCTGCCTCCCTGAAACCCGAGAACCCACCTTTTCCAGCTCTCTGAGCAGAATACGGACCAGCACTGGACTTTTCCCAGGATCTCTCTCGACCTTCTTGTGCAGGGACCATCTCCACATGCCTGGCCAGGACAGAGAGGACCCCAGCACACGCAGGCGGGGCATGGGGGCTCTTGAGGGGATCCCCCTGAGCAGGACCCTGAGCCCTTGGAGCCCCACACTGTGACTCTGACTGGCTACAGATCTGACCCCTCAGCAGGGCACCTGGCTCTGGCGACACGGTGGGGAGGGCTTGTCACATGTGGAGGATTTCTGCTCCACTGCCTGTCAAGGACAGTGCATTCTCCGGGTGGAAAGACAGGGATGTGGGACATGAGTGGGCCAGAGTGCGCGCGTGGCCTATGGGCTGGCGATGTTTGGAGCTCAGCACCTGGGGCCACGTGTCTGGAGGTCGTGCAGGTCCAGAGGGCCAAGAGGAATTTTGCTCGCACGGGGAGCTGGGGAGGTGGCTGAGAAGGAGTGGGACAGAGGCTGCCTGCTGGCTCTTACCTTGGTTGCTCTGCAGAGCTGGGGCCTGGGGGCTGAGTTCCCGGAGAACTGCTTGCACGCTCCGCTGGAGGTCCAGCTCCGCATCTGGGCAGTAGGGGTGGGTGGGGGTAGCACTGGGCCAGGAGCTTTGGAGCTCAGCGACCCCGGCCTCACCCTCACCCCCATGTCTGCTCTCCCTGAGACCATCTTTCACCCCTTCTTTAAGCCCCAAGAGGTGCCCCAAAGTGATCAACTTAGAGCAGGCAGCCAGCACACAGCTCTCCAATAAGCCTTTCCATCAGCACCTCCCTCTTCTCTGTAAAACCCACGTTCCCCAAAGCACTGTGGGTATTCCACTGGTGGCTCACAGGGCTGTGTTAGGGGACACTCATGCGGTCCTAAAACCTGAATAATTAGGCACTTATCTTTTTGTGTTCAAAAAAATATGTGTTCCTAAATTTCAAGTCAATTTCATGTCAGATCAAGGATGGGACAGGAAAGGACAGACTGTCCCCTCATCAAACTGAACTCAGGCTTTGCTAAGCCAACTTCCCCTCCAGACCCCAGCCCTGGCCCCGGTTCTGTCCCTCACCCCATCCCGCTGGCCTGTCCCAGCTTGAGCAGAACACTGTTAGCCAAATCTAGACGCCCCACGTCTCCTCGGACTGATTTCCCACCTGCCCCACCCCCTTGCAATCCATGGGCTTGTAACTCCCCCGATGTCTTTGTGTCATTTGGGGTTGAGCCCTATCTCTGTCCCCTGGTGTGACTGTCTTGAATGAAGTCTCTTTTGCCACTGGAACCAGTGTCATGAGATTGTTCTTCAGCTGTGGTCCGTTGGCATGTCAAAGCGTGAGTGTGGTACAAGAATGAGCCACTGACATCCGGGAAGCATGGGAGTGGTGGGGAGGCCCCTGGCCCATCTCCCACTGCAGGAAGAGGTTAGCTGGTCAGGGTGGGAGAGGGCGCTCAGGGCTGGGCACCTGCAGCCCATCACCTGGTGCGGGGCCACACTCCCAGCCACTGTGACACTCCTCCTCCAAGACTTGCACCCTTGAGGCACCTGACTTGGGCTCAGGGCTCCCCAACCACACTGCTGAGCCTTTCTTGGTCACAACTGGGTCGAATGCATTTCCACGAGCACCTCAACTCTTTCTCCTTCCCTTGGAGCTGGACACCCATCAGCGCCCTCTCCGCAGCCTGCCCCTGGGCTGTGTCCCCACCTCAAGCCCTGCATGGCCACCCCATCGTGAGGTCTGCTTCTCGGAGACTCCAGACTAAAAACAGGAAGCATGAGAGACACTTCCCACACCATAAATTCCTCTTTCTGACTGGCTCTCACCAAGCGTCTGTCTTCCTTCATGAGCAAGTGTGCCTTTGGTTGTCAGAGAATACCAACCACACGCCTCAGGGGTTCCTCTTTTGTTGGGCTGTCAGGAAACTGACAAAGTGGGGGCCCAGCCTCAAAAACCAGCTCATCTCCAGGGACAGGGACGTCTCCTCTCTGCTCCTCTTTGGGGCTCTTGCTTTATGTTTTACGAAACCTGTATCATAATTGCCTCGCACTCCTTTGGAAGGATATAGGTAGAGATCACACGTTTTAAAGAATCAGCAGGCAGAACGTGTTCAGCCAAAGCACTGGTGCTCAGGGACCGACCCCTCTGGGGTTCTGGCATGAGCTCGGCTAAGTTGGCCAGGGCTCCCCTGCTTCTCGAAAATCCCCCACCTTTCTCCTGCCGCTCACTTGGTCCCCTTGGACCTCATCAAAGTCTGTTTCTGAGTCTCCCCGAGGCTGAGAGTGAGCCGCTCTCACAGCTCAAGTTTCTCCCCGCCGCCCCTCTGCTGGGCTGTGCATCACCCTCCACCCTTCCCCACCCCTCGCCCCCCTGGCAAGGAAATCATGAAACCTGGCACGAAAGCTGGTCACAAGCTGCCTTTCTACCTACCTGTGTCCACCTTACATGGAGATTTTTTTTTTTTTTTTTTGACAGAGAGAGATCACAAGTAGGCAGAGAGGCAGGCAGAGAGAGTGGGGGGAGGAGCAGGCTCCCTGCTGAGCAGAGAGCCTGATGCGGGCCTCGATCCCAGGACCCTGAGATCATGCCCTGAGCCGAAGGCAGAGGCTTTAACCCACTGAGCTACCCAAGCGTCCCAACCTTACATGGAGATTTAATGAGTTAATGCAGGCAGAGTTTTTAAAACATTGTTATGTCTACTTTCTCCTTTCCTCCTTCCTTCCTTCTGCCTCCCTCTGTCCCCAGCTGCCTCTCCAGGGACAGCACAGACTTCAAACTATGATAGCCATCATCTCCTCCCTGCCCCTCCCTAGAAGGGCAGCCAAGCCTTTGTCTTCTGAGCCCTGCCTTGCACAGGGAGTTAAGCTTTTATGTTTCAGAGAAAAATAGAGAAGTTGCCAATAGCCCCAGGAGACAGCCCCACATAAAATATGTTTTCGAAAGTCTGGGCGGCCGGAACAAGCGTTCAGGCTTTGGTCCGCATCTGGCTTGCAGACGTGTTTTGTTTGGGCTTGTAGAGTGTCTTGGAAAAAAAAAAAAAAATCAAATCAGCTGCTGACATGTACAAATCAGGAGATTTTGCATGAAAGTTTGGGTTTCTGGCATCCCTGGAAAGTCTGTTGACACCAGGCATGCATTCTTCGCACATGTGGCAATCGACAGGGCACAGCTACCCCGGTTCTTCATAGCGGGCCCCTCTCCTTGTCTGGCTCATCGACACCCTGTACCTGACTCCTTGAGTTTGAGACCCCTGGCTCTGGGACTGAGACAACTGAGCTGGATTGTCTCAAAGGAATGGGGATAAGGCTGCTGCTTGTAGCTACTGAGGACAGTGGCAACCTGAGGTGGGAGGCTGGATGCCCCAGGGCTGTGAGAGCACAGGGTTATGGGGACCCAAAGAATGAGAAAGATTGGGGCTGGCTGGGACACAGCCTCGGGGGGTGGCTGAGAGCTCAGACGAAGGCAGGTGAGCACTATACTTGGCGCTTGAGGGCCACGGCTGTGGTCTCCTGGGTCACCTTTACCAGCGCATAAGAATGTCTCCGAAGGAACCCTCTCTCTCCCTATGGACTGTGCACACCTGGCCAACCTGTTCGGGGACGGGGTTGTGGCAGCTACAGTGGATTGAAGACACAGCCTCTTCCCATCGTGAAGACTTTGTAACCCCTGGGCTTATGAGATCACAAACAGGGGGCAGGCAGCCCAGGCAAATGACCCTGGAATTTGTACTGACCTTGGAAAATGAGAGCTTGAAGCTGGATTTGATCTGATTAAGCAAACGAAAGAAACGGGATATTTCTTGTGCCTCAAGCATCTCAGGGTTATTCGTATATGACATGCATGTCTAACATTACTCTTGACTCAGAACAGCCAATAAATAAAGGCCATTCATAATTATTACCTTCCCCTCCATCCAGGAATGTGAGAGATTACTATTAGGCATCATGTTACTATTAATATCTAACATTTAAATAGCACGTAAAAGGCGTACACACAGAGAGTCTTACGGAGGTGTCGTAAGACAATGTGAGGTGTTCATCAAACCGAGTTCATGTTTGTCCTGGGTCGCCAGGAAGACTACATTTCCCAGAATCCCCTGCAGCTAGATGGACGTCACGCATTGAGCCTGTCTAGTGGAATGCGGTGGACACAACGTATGACATAAAATCCTCTGCACTGGGGCGCCTGGGTGGCTCCACGGGTTAAGGATCTGCCTCCGGCTCGGGTCACGACCTCAGGGTCTAGGGATGGAGCCCCGCCTCGGGCTTCCCGCTCAGCGGGGAGTCTGCTTCTCCCTCTCCGTCTGCAGCTCCCCTTGCTTGTGCTCGCTCTCGATCACTCTCTCAAATAAATACGTAAAACCTTTAAAAAAATACTCTGTATTATCCTCCACCTCTCTCTTCCTATTCTTTGGTGACCTTGGAAGACGTGTTGGAGGAGACGGTGCCATGAGAGGGCACATCCCTGAAGGATGGAGCCCGGCCTGGATGGTGATGTGAGACGTAAGCGTCGGTTGTGCTAACCCACTGACATCGGGGTCACGGGTGTACCAGCTAGCCTTTCTGACAGACCCTCGGACGCGCAGATAATTTTCTGGAATCTCATCTCACTGGCTTCTGAGCAGAGCCCTGGGAGCTCAGCAGGGCAATGCTGTTCTCCCTGTTCTGCTTCGTAGGTTCCAGGTCAAGAGCTCTTAGTCTTGTGCCGTATTGTCTCTCCGAACACAGAGGTCAGACCCAGAAGGACCTTGGAGGCTCTCGTCCCATTTGACAGCTGGACAAATGAGGCTGGCATTTGTGTGAGGGCACAGAGCTGTTGGAAGAGAGCTGTCCCTTTGGCGGACGCTCTTCCCCTAAAGCTCCACTCTTATATGTCCCCTTATAGTCACCTGCTTACCCGGAAAAGGGAGAACAACATATGTCTATCTATGCGTATCTGGGCTTCAAATACCAAAAGCCATTGCCCCAGATAAAGGTGCCTGGACAGAGTCGCAGCTCTCAAGGTAGTTCAAAGTCCAGTCTTCGATTTCAGGCCATTCGAAGCTATAGCAGCACAAGGCCATTCCAGCTCTGTGTTGCCCTGTGGTCCCAGACAGAATCAGATTTCTCCCAAACGTCCTTGTAGGATGTTTGCCTTTTCCCTCCTTCCCAATCTTGGTTGCACAGGAGAATCACCCAAGAGCTTTAAAAAAACACTAACATACAGCCCCCAGCAAACTAGCTTAAATCAGATCTCTGAGAGTAGGGACTAATAATTTCCTTTTTAATAGCTCCCCAGGACACTCTAATGGATAGTTAGGGTAGGAATTACTGTCTTAGCTCTTAAGCTGAGAGCTCTGGACAATTGAGCTGTTAGTCAAGGAAGGAGTCAGGTGCCAAGATGCTCACAGAGGCCGATCATCCCTGCATAAAGGATGAAGGTCACAGGGTCAGAATGGCTCCTTCCTGGCTTCATGGTGACAGGAGGAGATTCAAAAAACATAATGGGAAGAAGTTTCATTTTTATTATTGCTGTATTTCACTTGTTTTGCAAGATGTATGCATTTCTTCAGAAACGTGACCCTGGGAACTGGGCAGCAGACACCATGGCTTTAACTCTCTTGGGGTCCAGCCACGACATGAATAAAATCTTCTAAGACTTTTCTAAGCAGGCCTGTCTTTGTTGTCTTGAAGTCACCCCATACCTATTTGTCACGGTTTTTTATGTGTCACCTCGACTGGGCCACAGGACACCCAGATATTTGGTCAAACATTCTTCTGGGTATCTCTGGGAGGGTGTTTTTGAATGAGGTTTTTAAAGCACTAGACTGAATTGACAGACTGTTCTCCCTAACGTGGGTGGGCCTCATCTAATCAGGAGAAGGCCTGCACAGAACAAAAGGCTGACACCCGCCCCGCCTCCAAGTAATAGGGAATTCTTCCTGCTTGACTGCCTTCCAGCTAGGACATTGGTTTTTTTCCTTGCCTTTGGACTGGAACTATACCATAGGCTCTCCTGGATCTCTAGCTTGCCAACTGCAGGCCTTGGGACTTGTCAGCCTTCATAATAATGCGAGCAAATTCCTTAAGACAAATCATTCTGCACATGGTTGTACAGTAGGACACCCTTCCTAATACACCCACAGAGGCCCAAGGCATTGGGATGGAGAGGGCTGGTGGAACAATCAAACTAAGTATTTCCTCAGCCTTCTTTAGCCAAGGAGTGGAATCGGGGCAGGCGGTAGATGTGTCCATCCAGATGCAAGGGTTATAGGGACACTCGGGTCACTTGGTACCCAGAAAATTACTACCAAAGAGGTTGAATTTGTAATTTCCAAAGGATGTTCCCCTCAACCTGGAGTACTGGAAAGTTATTGTCCTTTTCTGCTTTCCAGATAGCAGCCATCGGAATCAGCTCCCCGTCCCTGGGATGGAAATGGCAAATACCAACAAACACTTTCTGGACCATTCTCTTCTAAAATCACTATAAAATCACTAACCCCAGGGTCCCTTTCCTCATGTCAGGTGAGCCATAAAACAACTGAGAGGAACACGGTTGGTTTGAGTGTGTGTTCTGACTCAGACTTGGGACTCCCGAGCTCTGTACAGATGGATGTCACTGGGTACATTGGTTTCCCTGGTTTTCAGAGGGTGAACTTTCTCTGACCTTGACATATTGACCATCTGGACCTCACGGACTGCCCTTCCAACCAGGGCCGAGGACTCGTCTGGGAATCCCCTGGTCTCAGCCTCTCAGCTGGTCACTGAAATCTGGGCTCAGCACCCAGACACACCATCAGCCGGAGTAATGGGGCTCACAGTTTTCTTCCATCCCACACCCGATCCTCCTTGCCCCCATGTGGAACAAAGGCTCAGATTTGCAGGGATGGCAAAATAACCACAGCTTTGGTGCCTGTGCCACACTGCTCTTTTGTATCCCTTAAAATAAATAATTTTTCAGGTGCCCCTCTTCTTGACTCTAGAATGACAGAACCCTTTAGGGCTCTAGGACAGTGGGGAAGGTTATAAACATTTGTAATTTGGGAACACAGCCCATACAACTGCAGTTCTGATCATGAACGCCACCCCCCTCCTTCAGAGCTTCCAGAGCAAGCCTCGGAATTTTGGGATGTTTCCTTCTGCCCATCTGATGTGGGAGGGGGTCACCTGTCATATCCTTGGTGGTGGGTATCTGTGGTTTCCCCTGCCCAGCAATCCTCCCTGCTCACTGTGGTCTTGGTGAGGCTGTGGCCTTTGGCCTTGCTCTGCCAAATTACCAAATTACCTTTTTTTTTCTTTTTTCTTTTTTTTTTTTTTCTGACCCCACCCCATAGTTTTGCCGGAGAGGAAAAGGACCCATTTTCTAAATCTGGAGGACTGTGCGGGTCTAGAGTATCGGCGGGGTTGGGAATAGGGCTGAGGTTCCCAGGGTCCTGACTCAAATACCCAATGCCAGTGGTTTCAGTGAAAGAAAAATCCAGACACGTAATCAGCAGCACCATTTCCTCGTGTGGATGCCCCACTCGGGAGAATTCCCACTGTTAGGGAACCTGTACTGGATCCTGACGGAAGAACCAAGGGGCACTTGGAGAGTTTGGAGGACTGGAGGTTTATTCAACACTGGTGGACTCCTCAGGACAGTGTTCTCCAAAGGTCTGAGCCCGGAGCCCAAGCTGGGAGGGTAATTTATACCTTTCTACTTCCTCATACTTGGGCACAGGACTGAGCTGGCCAACGGACTCTCTCTCCCTCTAGGCGAACTTTGTGCCGATGATGGCCAGCAGGAAAGAAGGCGCAGAGCGTTCTCTGAGGTCACTGTCTACCTCTTCCCGTCCTAGGGGTGGGTCCGCTCTGCTCCCCGCCCTCGCTGGTGCCTGGGTCTTCAGCTGGTCCTTCAGTGCTAGGCCATTCTTTATTTTTGGTAGTTAAACTAGCCCTATGGGTTTCTACTGCTTGTGTCCAAAGAAAATTTACTGGCGCACCTCTCTTCCTAAAACACAGCACCTCTCTTCCTAAAACACCTAAAACACAGTGCGTCTACTGTTATAATTAAAGTCAGGACAAAGTAAGTTGGTTTTGAAATATTGAGATTTTTATGGGGCTGGCTCTACCACTATCCTCCCAGGGCAAACCCCAGCTGGTTAAGGACAGCCCAAAATATCTCAGCGCCAGGATTCATGGACTTGTCTGATTCAGATGGAACGTCTGGCTGTGTGAGGCTCTATGCAGTGGTGTGTGTGTGTGTGTGTGTGTGTGTGTGTGTGTGTGTAAAGGACACATGTCTGAGGGATGGTAACAACCCAGTAGCTGCACCTGCCTTGGGCATGCCCTCTCCTTCCCTGGATGGGGGTCTTTAAGGGCATCAGAGTCTACGTCTCACGAGGAGTGCTGTGGGACTTCCCGGGTGACCGTTGGTGATACACATCTCGAGGGAAGGGTCATCTCTCCTTGTGTCCCAGACTGATAAGGCATGAAGAGTCTGGGGTTGGGAATGAGCCAGACCTTGGTTCTGATCGTGGTTCTGCCACTTATCAGCTGTGTAGCTTTGCACAAATTACCTAACTTGAGCCTCCGTTTCCCCTTCATTGAAACGAGGAAGATTACATTGATACTGTACCTCACGGATCCTTCTGATGAACGCACAGGACACCCCCAGTGAAATCACTTAGGGCACAGAGCTGGACCCAGATTGCTGGGGTCAAACCCTGGTTTGACTATACGGTCTGTGGGTGGCCTTGGGAGCAGTACCTCTCCCCTCTGGGTCTCACTTTCTCCTTCTGCGAAATGGGGTCGATGATAACATCTATCTCATGGGGTCTTTATGAAGACTCAGTGAGATACTATTTGTCAAGTGTCTTTATCACTACTTGACAGATTATAAGCACTACAGAGGTTTTTGTTAAGTAAATACAAACATTTGGTGATAGATCTTGGCCCTCATTGACATTATCCCCAGTGTCCAGCGTAGTGACCTGTAAGCAGCTGGGTCTCATACAGGTGTGTGGCTGTCCACTCCTCAAGATGTTCTCACATTTGGGCAGCTGAGCTGGGGGTCTGGGTGAAGGTGAAGGTGGTCCTGCCAGCCCTGGGGGCCTTCTCGCCTGCAAGGGAGGCCTTCCCCACGATGAAACCAGGCTTGTGAGACCCCGCTGTCCCCAATCATACTGACCTGAGCTCTCCATGGGAGGCTGGGGTGTGAGTGAGGAGGATGTGGTCGTCTCAGGCAGCAGAATGGAAAGTAAAGTGGTTGTTTTTCCGCAGAGAGGTGGTTCTGCAAAATAAGAAGCAGTTAGCTAAGTGGTGGGAAGGTACAGAAAGTGTATTTGGGGGAGCGGAGAGGCTCCTAGGGGACCTAGGCTCCTAAAGCGTTGGAGGAATTCTTCTATGGTGCTGGCTGTGTGCTGGGTACTCTTCTAAACATGTTAAAACAATCAAATTTTTAACATTCATATTAACTGTATAAGGTAGGTACTATCTTCTACAGATGGGGAAATTGAAGCACGGAGAGGTTAAATAATGACCCAAGGTCAAAGAGATGGCAAGTAAAGGAATGAGCACCGAACTCAGACTATCCGGCTCTCGAATGTCATGACCCCTGGCTGACCCACCGTGACCCCAGTCAGGGGAACCTCCTCAAAGCCTGCCTCCCAGGGCAACAAACTTCAAAACTGAAAAGCAGAGGAACTCTGACCAAATCCAAGAATAAGTGAATAAAGATACACCTGAGAAAGCTAATTCGGAGAGAGAGAGAGAGAGAGAGAGAAAGAAATAAGAAAATATCAGGAATAATAAGTGTTATATATACTTAATGGAATAAAATATAATGTACTCTGAGTAACTGTAACCTATTGATAATCATATAAACAAATCATATAATTGAGCATTAAAATGTGATATGCCATTGACAATGATCAGAAAAGATAACACAATGCATGCCACATATGTACATATATGATATGTAATATGTTTATTTGTAGCAAAAAAAAAAAAAAATGAACCCTGTATCTCACACATGGTTTTCTAGGGAAATAAAAATGACACAAAAGCCTCCATTGAATTAGGAAAACTGCTTTTCTTAGTGACCAATGAAGAAACAAAGAGAGCCATCAAAGAATTAGCTCTTAAAAAGTAATATATGTCAGGGCGCCTGGGAGGCTCAGTTGGTTAAGCGTCCCACTCCCGGTTTCAGCTCAGGTCATGATCTCAGGGTCAAGACATGGAGTCCCGCATCAGGCTCTGTGCTCGGTGTGGAGCCTGCTTGAGATTCTCTCTCTCCTTCTGCCTCTTCCCCACTGGTACACATGCTCTAAAATAAATAAATAAATCTCTTAAAAAAAAAAAACAACAGTTGATATATGTCTCAGATGGTTCCTCTGATAAGTTCTCTCAAACCAGCAATGAAAAATGTTAAGCTATTTCAACTGTTCAAAAGCATAAAGAAGGAGAGATTCTCTGAAAAAGCCAACTTAGCCTTGATAGCAAAATCTAATAAAGATAGTTTAAAAATATAGATGAATCACTCCCCACCCACTGGGACAGCTGTTTAAAAAAGAAAGCGACAGCAAGGGTTGGCAAGGATATGGAAACATTAGACCTGGTGTGCTGCTGGTTGGAATTCAAGATGGTGCAGCTGTGGTGGAAAAAGAGTATAGTGATTCCTCATAAATTTAAACACAGATTTACCACAGGACCCAGAAATTCCCCTCCTAGGTAAATACCCAAAAGAACTGAAAATAGGGACTCTAGCAGATACTTGCATATCAGCATTCATGGCAGCATTATTCAAAATGCCCCAAACTGGAAATACTTCAAAGGTCTATCAACAGGTGAATGGGTAAACAAAATGTGGCATATCCATATGATGGAAAATTATTCAACCTTAAAGTGGAATTAACTTTGGACACATGCTACATCATAGATGAGCCTTGAAGTCATCATGCAAGTGAAATACATCAGGCCAAAAGGACAAATATTTGATTCTATTTACATGAGGCACTAACAATAGGCAGATTCACAGAGACAGAAAAGTGTAACAGAGGTTACCAGGGCTTGTGGGGAAGGAGGAGAGGAGAATTATTATTCAGTGGGTACAGAGATGATGAAAAATTTCTGGAAATGGACTGTGGTGATTGTACAATGTTGTGAATGCACTTAATGACACCAAATCCATACACTTTAAAATGGTTAAAATGGAAAATTTTATGATATGTATATTTTACCACAATAAAAATTAATATTAAAAGTATAAAATATCACTGATTGAACTGAATGCATTAAAAATATAATGTATTCGGAATAATTCTAGATGATTGCTAATCATTGGAAGGATGTTAAAATGTGATATACCGTTAGCAATTATTAGAAAAGATAAAAACAACCGTTGCTGAAGATATGGGAAAATTTTCTCTGTACTCAGTTGGTGAGAGCAGAAATTGGTATAGCTTTCCTGGAGGGTAGTGCAATAAACATCAAAATTCAAAATGTGTATCCTTTTTGTCCAAGCAACTCCACTCTTAGGAATTTATCCTAAGGAAATAATTGGATAAGTGCATAAGGAAAGTATACAACAATATCCGTCAAAACATTGTTAATAACAGGAGAAAAACAGAAGAAACTTAAAGGCCCAATGGCAGAGTGTCAATTAAGCAAATTAGAGTTACTCATGCAATGGAATATTAAGCAGACATGAAAATGATGACGTATATTTACATTTACTGAATTAAAAAGATTTTCAGAAGTATTCATCTCAAACACTAGGTAACAAAACAGTTAACACATTTCTAACACATTAATTTTTTAAAATGTATTTCTAAATTTCCTCAGATGTATTGTAAAAAGTCAGTAAAAACTAAACATCAGGGCTCCTGGGTGGCTCAGTTGGTTAAACAACTGCCTTCAGCTCAGGTCACGATTCTGGAGCCCTGGGATCAAGTCCCGCACTGGGCTCCCAGCTCTGCAGGGAGTCTGCTTCTCCCTCGACCTTCTACCTTCTCATGCTTGCTCTCTCGCTCTCTCTAATAAACAAAATCTTAAAAAACAAAACAAAACAAAAAACACTAAACATCAAAATGTGATATTGAAGGCCCTGGTTCTAGTTAACGTGGAGTAAGTACACTCTGTTGTAACTCTCCCACTCAAAAAAACTAAAAATTCTGGATGGTATGCATGGCATGGCTATCTGAGGATGCTGAGAAGTGGTATCAGGCAGAATGGGGAAGAAAACCAGTTCATGAACAATCTGGCAGTGAGTTTTCTTCACTTCCCCCCTCCCCATTATCCCCTGGTCTGGACCACAAAGATAGCCTGAAACTCACAAGTCCACACTTAGGGCAGACAGAAAGAGCTAGAAGAAAAGCCTCTCTTTCTGGTCTGAGGATCAAAAAAAGGGTCCCCAAAGGATTGAAGAGATGGGGGATTTACTTTTTCTTTTGCAATTCCTCCTTCCATATCCCCCAGGCAATCTTTTAATAGCAATAGCAGCAACAGTGGTTGGCCATGGCGGCCAAACAGGTGCCTAAAATTCTGAAAAAGGGAAATTCTTCCCTCTGACTAGAGGAACTATAGTTCCAAGGGCATGGGAAGAATCCTTAATGCTTTCTTCCCTCTAACAGAGCAACAAAACTAAGAAATAACAAATAGAAGATGAATAATAAAAGTGGTAGACCTGAATAAAAATATATTAATAGTTATATTAAATGTAAACTGTCTAAACACACCAATTAAAAGACATAGACAGCACTAAAAAAAAATCAGAACCAACTCTATGCTGTTTACAATAAATTTACTTTAAATATAATATCATAGGTAAGCAAAAGAACAAAAAATATATATACTACTTGAATATTAATCAAAAGAATGCTAAGTAGGTGTATTATTACGAGACAAAGTAATTTCAGAGCAAGGAAAATTGTCAGAATAAGCTTCTTATTACATTTCATAATAATAAAAGAGTCAATTTATGAAGAAGCTATAACAATTCTAAACATGTATGCACTTAAAAACAGGGCTTCAAAATACACAAAGGCAAAACTAATGAAACTAAATTACAAGTGGGCAAATCCACAATTATAGCTGGAAATTTTAACAGTACTCTTTCAGTGACTGATAGAACCAGCAGATAGAAAATCAAGAAGGACATGGAAAAACTGAATACTATCAACTAACTGAATATATGGAAAAATTGAATATTATCAACCAACTGAATTTAACTGGCATTCATGGAACACTCATACAACAACAGCAGAATATGAATTCTTTTCAAGTGTACATGAAACACTCACCAAGATAGACAATACCCTTGGTTACAAAACAAACCTTAATAATTTTAAAATAACTGAATTATACAAAGTGTTTGCTGATCATAATGAAATTAAATCAATGATTTGAAATTAGTAATATAAAATTAGTAATATAAAAATAATTAGAATATCTCCAAATACCAGAATATTGAACAACACATTTCTAAGTAATCCATATGCCCCCAAAATAAAATAAGTGGGTTAACACTTCCCAACTCATTTTAGGAGTCTAGCACTCTCCTGATATCAAAACCAGACAAAAATAGTACAAGAAAAGAAAATACTCCTATATCCTTTATAAACATATATGAAAAAAATTCTGAGCAAAATATTAGCAAACGAAGACCAGGAATATATAAAAAGAATAATGCATAACAACTTGGTGGGGTTTATCCCAGGGATGCAAGACTGGTTCAATATCTGAAAGTCAACCAGGGTAATCTGTTATATTAAAGACTAAAAAAGAAAAACCATATGTTCTTATTAGTTGAGGCAGTAAAAACATTTGACAAATTTTAATTTTATGATAAAAACTTAGAATACATTAGGACTATAAGGGAACTTCATTAATCTGATATAGGGCTTACACCAAAAAACCTCTCAACTAACATACATAAAAATAAAAAAAAAAAACAAAACAAAACTGAATAGTTCCCCTCAAAGATTAGGAAAAGGCAAGGACATTCACTCTCACCACTTCTACTCAACAAATCAACATATTATTGGAAGCCAGTGTAACAAGACAGAAAAAAAAAAAGTAGAAAAAGAAAAGAGGTGTACATATTGGAAAGGAAGAAATAAAAGTATTTGCAAATAAAACAACCCTATTCACATGTAATAAGTGTACATATATAATCCCTAAGAATCTACCAAAAAAATCTCCTAGAACTAATAGTGAGTTTGCCAGGATCACAGGATATAATGTCAGCATACAACATCAGGCATATTTCTATATGCTAAGAAAGGAACAACT